CCTGTGCTCTCAAACGTAGGTGGCGGTGGTGGTGGTGGTGGTGGAGCTGAGGATGGAGGAATGCTTCTTGAAAAAGGTGGTGGAGGAGGAGGAGGAGGTGGTGGTGGTGGCGGTGGTTGAGCTGAGGGTGGAGGAATGATTCTAGAAGGTGGCGGCGGAGGAGGTGGTGGTGGAGGGGTTTTGTTGATAGGCGGATGTATTGTTGTCAAGGGATCTCTACTGCCGAAACTAGGGAGAGGTGGCGGCGGGGGTGGGGTGGGGCTGGGGTGAAAATGAGGCTGTGTTCGTAAAAGAAGGGGACGGAGGTGGCGGTGGGGGTGGGGGCTGGGGTGAAAATGAGGCTGTGCTCGTAAACGAAGGGGGAGGAGGTGGCGGTGGAGGTGGAGGCACAAGTGTGACATGAGCAACCGAAGACGGCGGATCTGATGGAAGAGTTGGGTGGACACTGTCTTCCGCTGGAACTTCTTGCTGTTGGTGATGAGAGAATTCATGAGGCTCCTCTAATGATTCAGGAGCAACAGATAAAGGAATGTCGTCTGTCTCATCATTATCAAAAGGTATACGAATGTGAGGTCTCTGAATAGCATCAAAGCCTTCATCTGAACTATCAGCGGCACTAGATGTGTTTGTCTCTTCCTCAGAGTCAGGAGAATTAAAATAAAAACTCCCTTTCTGCCGAAATCTTGTAAACTCTTTTGCATCATTTATGGCAGCAAGTTGTTTCAGTAACCACAAAGCAGCATCATCTCCATTCTCAGCCAAATCCACACCGCTAAAAAGTTCTTGAACTCTAGAAAAGGCTTCAATGGGCAATCCACCAGTCTCATCACCATTTACTATCGGTGTTGGAACTTTCTGAGGGGCCGCATTCTCAACTTCTCCAAACAAGACCTGATGCATAAGAATGGAGTCATAGTCATAACAAGCACATGTATAACTTAGCATGACTATTATCATTTTTTTGTGTTTTCGTTAGCCATCTAAGGTTAGTCATTTTTTTTGTTTCGTTTCTCGTTTCTGCACCCATATTTTCTCATATACAACAAACTTACATTCATATAAATCAGATGAGATGGATAAAAGGTACATACCTCTGCTCGAAACCCTTTTGGGTAATGATCCTTGGCCTCCCAGAGAATATCCAAGTTGTCAGAGTTCAACATTAGTATGTTGGACCTGATAAATGCAGTATTAAACATCACACGAAACATCATAACTTCTCGTTCTGGATCTAAATCCATATGCACACACTCCAGTACAACATCTCCTTGAACCCAGCACTGGATGTCAATTTTGATTACGTCACATTCTGCCTGCAGTCATATGGTACAGGTTTACGTTACTCAGAAGAGTGATACTTTATAGAAGGTGTCAAAGAAATCATAAAGTAATAACATACTCACCTGTCGGTAATGGCGAAGGGGTTTTTTCTTATCGGTCATAGAATACACCATTTCCGTGGAAAGACCAGAAGTGCTACTATAATTTCTTCCAAAAATACGTATAACTGGTCTGCAGCCATGTTGAGAGTCAAAGTTTGGAATCGCTCGAATAATCACGCAATCTAAGGAAAGAGCTCTTTCAGGAGGTGGCCACTCAGGATTTATGTTTCTCCTCGCTACATATTGAAGATAGCGAAGTTGAGAAGGAAACGGATTTAACGGCGAGAGCAGCTGCAAAAGACCCTTGGGAGCCTCTCGATGCACAATCTCAAGAGTCCTGCGCTCTCCGCTGTGAACTTTCCTGAAAATCAGAAAACTAGCTAGAATGAAAGCTAAAAGTGGCCAGCCTCCTCTCTCGCAGTGAAGAAGAATCACATCCTGACGGTTCCCACGAGCAAGCCAACTCTCACAGACACGTAGAAAATGTTGAATCAACGATAAAGGAAGCAAAGGGCAGCCTTCATACTGCCTGGGGTACTCAAGGACGGTAACATCATATTCACAGAGAGTTTCAGCAAACACGCTCTTTTTCTCCCCTTCTCGGAAATTAAATGCTAAAAGGGATGATTCCGGGAATTCTTCGTGTAAATCGTTGATGACTTCATGCAGGAAGATTTGATACAAACCATCCTCCAACACCTCCGTGCAAAAACATGAATCAAAAACTGTCCATTTACACACAAATTGACTCTTAGATGTTAAAAATCCCAAAAAAAAAAAAAAAACTAAACTGTATTTTCTAATAGTTTCATTCATGATTAAGAAAGGAATAGTAATTACCATAAACTCTATCAGCAAATTCAAGCAACCCATCTGGTGGTCTCTTGTAAAAGAACCTACTTAATAGAGACATTTCGGCAAATCGCAAGATACTTGTGCTTCGATCAAATTAGCTCGAACCTGAGGAAAAAAAATATAATCAGCTCATTCGTAGCTACGAGTAATCAAATCACCATCGAAAGCAAAATGCACAGAGAAAACAAACTCCTAAATTACTTAGTCGATTCTTGAGGTTTATCAAAGTCAAAAGCTAATCGAATCAACCAAAAATGGGCAAAATCCCCTAAAATTAGAATCAAATTGGAGATTAATCAAACACGAGCTTCAAATACGGATGGTTTTGAGGATATATGCAAGCACTGGAACTGCATAGAACCCTCCGAAATTAGGGTTTATAAGAGCAGAAGAAGACGAGGAAGAAGAAGATGGTGATAACGATGACTTACCTTATTACAATAAGAGAGAGTAAGGCAAATTTGCATTACCCGATGCAGCTGAAGCGGCGAAGACGGCGGTATAGCGGCGGAAAAGCTCCGGTGGAGAACACAAAGGGATGAAAATCGGGGAACGTTTGGTTTTTTCAAATTTTGAAAAAAAAGAAAAAATGTTTAGGAGACAAGATAAAACCATACGGATCGCTTTTTCGGTTTATTTAAAAAATTTCTCAGTTCTTTCATATTATTTAATGTTTCTTTCTATAAATTTGACATCTTTATTAATGTAACTGATCAATCCCATAATATTCAAATGTAATTAATAAGTTTTCTTAGTTATTTTGTTGAAATAGAATTATGATAATATCACTATAACATATACCATACCATAATAATATTTCCCAAGTCTTACAATTTTAGTAATATTATTTTTATTTTTTATTCTCTGATCAACTCATTAAATAACACATCTCATAATTTAAAAATTGTTAACCACGACAAACGGCTCTAATTGTATATTATTGTTAAAAAATTTTCTCTTCTTCTTTTGTAACAACGGTTTTAAAATTTGATTTGTGATGTAGAGCACACTAACATAAACCATTAGACTAAATATTAACATGCTCAATATACAATTAATTTCTATAAATGTTCCACAATATTAATTTTTTGAATTTAGGTATATTAGTTAAGAAAAACTATCACTGAAAATTGGTTAATAATCTACAATCAATAAAATTATCACTAACTATGATTTACTACTTAATCTTTAACAAAAAAGTTATTTACAACTTAAACAAGTTTATTGATTTTTTCATCTTTCAAATCATATCCCTCTAATTTGTAGCTATTCGTATTCGGACACTTTAAAACAAAACGTCTATTTATTTACGATTTTGACATTAAAATTCTAACCACATACTCCAGGTTGATTTTGTATGTACTTTGATAAGCTTCATCTTCAATTCGACAAGATCATATCACACGGACGGACCAAACACATAACATATGGTTTTAATATGCATCATTATTATATCGTTATATGCATCATGATTATATCGTTAAGACAATTATATATCAAGCATTGTTAAAAGAGATCAAGCCAGAGGGTTTTATACCAAGACGAAGGTTACAACAAAGTAGAGGAGATTTATAAAATGATAGAAACAACACGAGAGCAAGAACAAGTCTTATGCTATGTTATTTGAAGCTTGAAGATAAAACAACTGCAGGAAAGACAGATTGGATGAAATCACATATCAAGTTGAAGCAGCTGCTTCCATGAGTTGCTTGACCTTAGTGATATAGTCACTCATGGCATCGTCCGTTGATTTGGCTGACATCAAAAACAAAAAACAAAAACAAGACAACGACAGGTCAAACTCGGTTTTCCGAATATTTGTTAGAACTTAGAGACAATGAATCACAGATTACAATTGGTTACATAAGAGGTGTTTTAAAGAAGTTCTATAAATTTGACTTGTTACCTTCAACGTCCTTCCAAGCATCCCACTTGGCTCTTTCCTTCATATTGAACATTCCAGGACGACCTTTTGAACCAAACACAAAAGAAAGAAACTGTTATTTAACATAGCAAAAAGTTGAAACCAAGAAAGCAAAAACCGCAGGATCTGAGCATAAAAGCTTCTTTAAGGAGAAAACATATAAAAGAGAGTGAGATATTAACTGGTGGTGACTGGCCCGACTGTGGCTTGCTTGTAGAGAGCGTAGAGGATGAGCAAGTCTTCGTTAGACGGGCTCGTGGTGAGAGTCTTCACTTTCGCAGCGTGCTCCTCGAAATCCTCCTGCAGCAGATATATTATAAATCAACAAATCAGGGAGAAAGAATCTTAATTGCCTAAAACACCATCAAACATATATACTCCTACTCACTGGGATGAAACAATAAAGTGCAAAAGAGAGAGACCTCAAATCAAACTCAAACACTAAATACACAAAAACCAAACCTAACTCAGATTCAAATCTTTATTACCACCTCTCTCTACAACACAATGTTTGAAAAATCAGTTATAAGAACAGAACTTGGATAAGATCATACGGTACAGAGAGAGAGAAAAAAATAAAAACCGTGATCAGTAACACTGATGATTCAATTCAATAAAATGATCACACTTGAACCTTCAATTTTGCAATTGATTAGCTTTTTAGTTTATCATAAAACTCTGTTCCTAATCTTCAACCGACATAAGAACATAAACTGGAGAAAAGAACTTGCACAGCCCAATCTGGGATCGAACTAGTCTACTACACTAACACAGAAACATCTATTTCAGAATTACGAAAACACGAGAAAGACAAAAACAAAAAACTAGATCCGAGAATAAACCAAAAACCCAGAGATCGGTTTGGTATGGATCTGAACGTACCTTCAAACCCATGATGAAAATAGTAGACGTATGTAGTTTTGAGATAGGTAGGAGGAGGAGGAATAAAATCAGCGTAAATGAGACGGAGAAGACGAGGACGACGCGTCAAATATATATATAAGAGGGAGATCTCTCTATCTCCAAGGCCCATCATCATACATATTATTTTGATATTTTCTTTAAAATGAAATAAATCTTCAAAGAGATATATACTATACACGTGGATCCACTCCCCTCGTTGATTGGTTTAGTCCCATCAATGTTGGTACAACTGTACAAGAAAGAACATGGTTCTGTTTTTTTCGGATTGACGACCTATTTCCCCCCGAGAAGTATTGCATCGTATCAGAACAACACAAAACTTCACTCTCGTACTTAACCTCCCATAATTCATACTTTTATTGCTAAATCTCCCCGAATCGAAAGTTCCATCTCTATTTCTCCAATCGCGTGGGTTTACATGGTTTTCGAACCAAACCCGACAGAAAACCATTGAAACACGGTTTGCAATCAATTTAAAACCCGAATAATAATCCAGTCCGACCCGAAAACAACCAACCACCTTATAATTGTTTAGTCGTTTAACGGATCTAAAATCCCCAAATTTCAAACTGAAGAACCCTAAATTTTAAATTTTCCAGAATCGAAAATCCAGAAATTGACCTCTGAAAATCATGAGTTTGGTCTCAGGAGCTTCGAATTCTTCATCTAATGTGCGAGGTAGAGGAAGGACGTATGTCTTTGGCGTGCCTAAGAAATGTTGGTGTGGAGAAGAAATTGTGGCCAAAAACTCTCACTCCGACGCGAATCCGTGTCGAAGATATGTTCGTTGTGGATATGCATATGGAAAGAAGGTAATGCTGGTTCTTCTCATTGCTTCTGGATTTGTATGATTGAGATGCTAATTTTGGTTCTCATTGCTTCTAATTACGGTTCTCATTGCTTCTAATTTTTGTTAGCTTGAGAATGATAATCATGTCTTTAAGTGGGTGGATGAGGCACTCTTGGATGAGGTTGAGGCAATGAAGCAGCAGATTGGTATGATTGAGAAGAATGTGATGGTGAAGCTTGAGAATAAGATGGTTATGGAGGTTGAGAAAGAGTTATGTGAGAAGGTTGAAGATGTGAAGTCACTAATGCAAGCAAGGATGAATAAGATGCTAATTGGGATAGTGTTTGGTTGTATGATCATGATTGCTATCGTTAAGCTAATTGGATGAGTTATCAAGGATGATCGTGTTTTTTATGTTGGTAATGCTTGTTTGTTTTGTCTTGGTAATGCTTGGTAATGGTGGTTTATGTAATGGATAATGGTTGGTAATGCTTGGTAATTGTTGTTTATTTGTAATGGATTATGATTGTCTTTGTTAGTTGGTAATAGATTATGAGATTATGAATGTTTTTGTTTGTTGGTAATGGATTGTGTTTAAAGACTAAATCGATTGTAAAAGAGAAATGACATTAGTTAATTAAGTTTTCTAAAACCAGACATCAAGGTTTCAAAAAAGAGAACATTAGTTAAGTTTTGCAGAACCATAAGACCATCCTAAACAGGTTTGAATACACAATAAGACCATACACAAAAACAGACAAGTCTTCATTGTGCTTCTCCTTCGATCCAATACCACTCCTCTTGCTACTTATGTCCCACACTTCAGTTCTCCTGTGTCAAGCAAGGTTGAGAAGGTTGTGTAGACACTTCACCTTGTGTAGAAACTTGACCTTGAGTTCCCTGCACTCACAGAACACATTGAAAAAAACATAAATCAGAAACATTGCAAAACTGTAAAATCAGAGGACGTTAGAGAATCAAGTACCTGTGTAGCATTGTTCTTCTTCCTATGAAACCTGCAGTTGTGGTCTGCTGCTCCACACATCCCACAGTGCATGATTCTCTTCTTTTGTTTTGGTTGCTTCTTGGTTGGAGACTCATTAACTCCTTTCTTCCTCTTCTTGTCTGCCTTGGTCAGCTTACTGTCATCACTAGGAGGAGCATACACCATGTCAGATTGAGTTGCAGGCCAGAATCGTGGACCTATTTGAGGAATCAGCCCTTCTTTGTAGTTGAGCTGCCATTTAGAAGTTCTGAACCATTGACAAACGTAGTTTTCAGCCTGTAGAGTCTTCTTTAGTATAACCCCATATGCATGCTCACAAGGGATTCCACAGATCTGAAACTTCCTACATGTGCAAGTCATTGTCCTCAAACAAACTCTATGCTTATCATAATCCAAGTGAACTTCATACATGCCGTTTGTGCTGCTGCTCACAATGCACTCAGAAGCTTTCTTATGCTCTTTAGCAAGAAACCTAGCCACATAAGGTGTACAAAGGCCTGAAACATAAATGAAACCAAACATTACAAGTTATACACGACAGTTAAAGACATACTAAAATTAAGTGATTTGCAAGAACTAACCTTTGTGATCATGAGAAGTGGCTGACCTCTTGGCGATTCTAACCATTGCAAGCCTTCTTACCATCTCTAGCATCGCCACAAAAGGCTTCTCTCTGGCCTTGTTTATTGTGTTGTTGAAAGATTCTGTGGAGTTGTTTTCCACATCCTCACAGTAATTGCCAACCTTGTGAAAGGCCCTGCACCATGTCTTGTGTTTTGTCTTTAGGACATCCTCATGCACCTTTGAATCATAAGCATGAATCCTCTCTAATCTCTCCTCATACTGTGTTGTGTTGTAGCTCCATGCCAAGTCCCATAAGAGTTTCTTCATCTGTTTTTTGTTGGGGTGATTCTTTTTTAGGTTTCCATAAATGTGCCTAACACATTTACGATGCTCCACATTTGGTAACTCTAACTCAACAGCCTTAATCAACCCCTGAAACATAGAATACCAAAACCAAAACTCATGTCAATAACGATACATATACGATTCAACACCATGATGAAAACAGTTAGAGAAGGTACCTTTTGACGGTCAGAAACCATGATGAAACAATCTCCATCTCCTAAGCCAAGATCAATCTTCAATCTCCTCACAAACCATTGCCAATTGTCAGTGTTTTCAACCTGCACAACACTCCAAGCTATTGGATAGATGGCATTGTCTGCATCCCTTCCTAATGCCACCAAAAACTGACCCTTGATCTTGGACTTCAAAAAGCAACCATCCACTCCAATTAGTGGCCTACAACTGGCTTTCCAAGTTCTTCTTAACACGTCAAAGCATACGTAGAAGCGGTTAAAAATGTCTTGACCAGCTTCATTCCTAATTGTGTCAACCTCCACAATAGACCCTTCATTTGCTTCCAATATCTCAGCTGCATAATCTCTTAGACGTGCAAACTGAGTGTCATACTCCAACTCAATCCAAGCCAATGCCTTTCTCCTAGCAGCTTGACACTGAGGTCTAGTAGCTGAAATTTTCCACTTCTCCATTATAATCTGTTCCATCTTCAAAGGCATGTAATACTCAGGATCTTCTCTAATCTTGTCAAGAAACAGCCTTGCAATAACTGGCACCTTAAACATCTCACACTCTCCATTAGCAACACAGATATGCTTATTGTTGTAACGTGTAACCTTCCACATTGACTCGTTCTACAAGGATGCACAATACACTCTCCACTCGCATTTCCCCTTAGCACCTACACACCTAAACCCGAGTCTATCCCTATCATACCTGTATTGCTTCAAATTGTAGCATGTTAGCAATGCATAATCGGTGACACATTCCTTGAAAGCGATCCCATTGAAGAATTTTTGCCCTACGTACATCGTCCCATCTCCACGGCTTATGGGAGTCCCTCTTTCTTCACCACCACGTTGTGCTCCAGCCTCGTCGTCGCTATCCGGGTACACATCGTGAAGGATTGGCTCTACATCTTCAGTGAAATCCTGGGCAAGCTTCTCCACAAACGATTCATCACGATCCTCTGCTTCAGGATCGTATTCTTCAACAGGAGGGATGTCTTCGGGGATAAGTAGCGCCATCGATTCAATCGATTGAGGAGATGAGATGAAATGAGGAGAAGAAATCGATTGAAGAGATGAAATGAGGAGAATAAATCGATTCAATCGATTGAAAATCCAATTCTAGGGTTCGAGAGAGTTAGGGCAAAGGCAAAATCAATTTGGGGATTTTTGATTTTTGGGTTTATTTGATTAAGTTTTGTAATCGGGTTGGTTAAATTTTCTAATCGGGTCGATTTGGGTTTAATCCGGTCATTCGATTCGTTCTTCGGTTAATCAAAACAGTAAACCAATTTCTAACCACTTAAACCCAGAGTTTTGGAAAATTGGATGAGAACTTTGTTATCGGGGGAGAAATAGAGATGGAACTTTCGATTCGGGGAGATTTAGCAATAAAAGTATCAATTATGAGAGGTTAAGGACGAGAGTAAAGTTTTGTGTTGTTCTGATACGATACAATACTTCTCGGGGGGAAATAGGTCGTCAATCCGTTTTTTTCTCATCGAACATGGTTCCTTCTCCAATGCCTAAAGAGTAAAGCCTTAAAGGCATATCCTCTTTTTATTTTCTTTCTCTTTTACTCACAAGATCCTTATTGTTCAGTAATAACTTTTTCTTTCAACTCATTTATTTCAAAAAGAAATCAGATAATAAAGGGGGGAAATCTTGGATGATTACTGACCAAATCAAGAATTGGAGATGTAAGATCAATTCATAAAAGACCATTCATTCCTCCACAAGAAAACTAATCTAATAAACAAGTGGTGTGGCTCAGGTTAGATTATAACACTGTACAATCAAGGCAAAGATCAATTTTGCGACTATATAAGTGTTATCTATGTCGAACTTTGTGGAAGATGTTCAGCAAAGAACATCAATAGACATAAGAGTATAGATCTCTTCAACCAGAAATCCTCTCAGTATCGCTTGAGTTCGTGTAATAAATCTTACCAACGGAGATGCTACTGATGATAGTAAGGTGGGTGGTGGTATTGAGGTGGCAACCCATGTCCACCGTACCCAGTTTGATGCTCAAAGTAGACAGGTTGAGAAGCTGGACCTGGAACCGGAACCGAGCCAAATAGCGCCATTGGGTTGCCATATGGGACAGCAACACCAGGTCGCATTGAGCTCAACATACCATATGGGTTCACTTGCACACTGTGGCTAGGATTAGGCAAAATTGGCTGTTGTTGTTGCTGACTTAGATGTGGGACTGTCAAATTGTATGCTGTAGTTGCACCATTAGCAACTCGAGGACGCTTATTATCGACCTTTTGTTTTGCTTGTTGGGTATTAGTAGGTGGGGTGAACTTAGTGGCACGCCTCCTCTGAGCTTTCTGATCTTCCAACTCCTTAACGCAGTCTTCGAGTTTCTCTTCAACAAACTCGGATTCAAGGCTTTTCTCTTTGACAACCTTGATCACTGCTCTCAATGCACTTAGCTCTTTATCAGTCGCTTCGTTCTGTGCCTTGAGAGAGTAATTCCCTTCAGCGCAAACTCTCTTAGCAGCTTCTCTAGAGTTCTTCAAACTAGTTTTCAAAATCGGAACTGGTTGGAATTCATCAGTCATCTCATTCTCATAAATGAACTTGATAGCAACAAGTAATCTCCCAGTATGCAAAAACTTCTTAATCAGCTCTGCGATTTTTTTCCTATCTAAGCCAATCTTCCTACAGATCGTTGTTGCTTGTTTATACTTAGAGATCAAGAAAACGTAATCACAAAGCTCCGCATTACTAAACAGAGACCCCAATTCAAAAGCTGCAACCAAATGCAAAAACGCCAACGCTTCTGATGGTTTGTTACCTATATTAGATTTCCAATCATAAGCAAGAGTCCTAGCTCTTTCTCTCGAATCACTCGTAAGGTTCGCATTGATCTCTATCAAAGCTTCCAATAACAAAACAAAGATCCTTCTCAAATCGATGGCTCTCGCTGAAGAAGACAACGACGGGGAAGAGCAATGATAAGAACCTTCGATCGCGTCAAGAATCAAAGCTGATGGATTCTCGGAGCATCGAATCGCACCAGGAAGCTCTGGATTGATCGTTAACCGCTTCTTCGAATTATCAATCATGTACTTCACCAAACCTAATCCGTCGTTCTTCTCACAAATCTTTCTCAATTCCGGCCAAAGGACTTGTGTCTCCGTCGTATCCGCCGTTGAGGCTTCGATTTTATCGGAATTTGGATTAGGCGCGACTGATTGGAGGAGACGGAAGCGGTCCAACAGTGAAGACTGGAGAGAAGAAAAGTGAGAGTCAATCTCAGACCATGAGAGGTTAAAAGATGGTGAAAGAAGAGATCCGTGAGCTTGGAGTTCATCGAAAGCTTTCTTCAGTTTTTGCTTCTTCACGTCGATTTGGTTAATCGATGCGGCGATTGATTCCGGCTCCGTCATAATCGGAACCCTAGATTTCTATTGCTTCATCCGCGGCTGTATTGGTCTTTCAATCTCTCCCCCTCTCCCTGACGCCGAGAGAACAATTTATTTTCAAATATTAATAATTATATATGTGACAAAAGTTTTAAATCTAAACCAATTCAATTGGTTAAAACAGGAAAAAAAACCGGATCACGGTTAACCAAGTTAAGATTTATTAAACAAAAATCCCATTGGTTCAATAATCTCAACAATGTGGAAGAGAAAATACAGAACTCGGGTTCAAAGGAGAACATAACCAACAAAAGAGACAACATTGCAAAACAAAATGGTTTCTGTAGTGACCATAGAATAAACAAGAGGCAAGGACATGCGACGTTGCCTTTTCACACCCTACGTTTCCTTGGTAATCTGCAACCATTATGAGCTTTCCTAGTCGTGTCTTCGATGTACACTATCGGATTTTGATCAGACCTAGAGTTGGTGAATCCGTCTCTGAACGCAATAATGGCTTTCCTCTTCTTCCCGAAGTGAGTAAATCCATTGACTTTAACCACCACATTTTTAAGCCCCATTGCCTTAGCTCTTCTCCCAATGTTTTCAGCGGTTGCATCAGCTGTGTAATTAGTCATCTTCCTTCCACCTTTCAGATCGGGCAAACTTCCAGATGATGCTTTGCCTTTGACGTTTCCTTTGGAATCTGTAACCGTGACAAAAGTGTTGTTTCGCAACATCTTGATGTGGACGATGTCAGCGTTCATTTCAAGGTTTGGGCGATGGAAATGAGAGAATATCCCTGAGGTTCTCCGTCCTTCGTCTTCTATTACTTCTCTGACAAAGTCCAGGTCGCTTGACTTTCCTCCGCTCGGGGAGTTGTCCTTGAGAAGTGAAGATTGAGTGAAATTCTCGTAGCTTGATGCACTTGGAGCCGAGAATCCGCTTCCTCCCGTGTTTGCAAAACTTGGATTCGTCTGACTGAACTGATTAGGTAGGGTGTTTGGTAATCTTGATCTCAGTGAGTTTTTGAAGGTAGGAGGAGCATTAGGAGCCGAGAAACCGTTTGCTCCCCTGTTTAATAAGCCAGCTTTCATATCACTGAAAGTTCTCAAAGTCGGAGGATTAGGATCCGAAGAGGAACCGATTCTTCCCGCATTCGGAAAGGCACTGTTATTTTCAGAGTCTCCAGGAACTGGTCCTTGCTCTCTGAATCTCCCTCCTGTTCATGAAGAATCCATGAAACACAAATCATTCAATACAGATACATTTTAACCCCGCCCTGCATAACTATTCCAAGGTTTTCTTTAACTAAAAGACTAAAGCTGTTCCGAATATAAGTTTCTGGATTCAGAATTTGTAAATTTCTAGCTATCCATCAAAAATTCCAAACTATTGCCTAATTTCTCAATTCAGCAAATTGTTCAAGAGCCATAAGAAGCTGATCCTTAAGCTAAGTATAAGACATCGATTCAATTTTTGGCAACTCGAACGAATCCCCAAATCACGAAACATTACATTTTCATGGCGAATCACACTTAACTAACAGTGAAAGCCAAATCAAAAACTTCAAAAGACAAAGAAATGCATAAATCAGATAAGACCCCAGAAATTTTGTTCTCAATCCAATCATGAATCTGAGCCATAATAACTCAAAAGTAAAACAAAATTGGCGTCCTCGGATCGAAAGAGATTATAGAAAATGGAAAACAACGAACCAGAGAAGCCATCTGATTGAGACGAAAATCGACGAACCGCATTGATTCCACCATAGCCACGAATCAACGAAGGAAGTGAAGAAGCTCGAAGATGACGAGAAAGACCATTCATTTTTCTTCTCTCTACTCTCAAATTTTGGGGGTTTAGGGTTTTTTATTCAAACATTTACTCAGCACTTTCTTCGTCGTTCTCGATCACATGAAGCCGTAGATCTACAAAAATGACTTCAGTATTCCTTACCGGGCCTTTTCAATTACAATGGACCTCTCCCATCATAGGCCCATTACTTGGTTTACATCCCAAAACAAAACAAAAAATACAACATTTACACATCTTCTTGTGAAGTTGTGCTTAAAACAAAGAACAAAGAATTTTAACAAAATGTACCAATCAAGCAGAAGACAAATAAGACAATTGGTTTCGGCTAGATGATTCCAAGCTTTCTTACCTTTTGCAAATACTCCTAACGTAATAAAGATTCTTCAAATTTCAGATTCTCCTTGTGAAACTCTGCCAAATAAGAACTATCCGAGAATTTGATCCATCTCTTACGATCAATGTAGTTCAGAAAAGGTTTCATCAAGAAACCAATAGTAACCATCACAAAGCTCACAAGAGCCACTTTGAGAGTAGAGAGAACAACAACGGAACAGATCAGTACAAAGGGAGGAACACACATCAGAACCGAACCAACTGTTCCAACTGGAATCTTATACGGTCTCGATGCAGCAGGATACTTCATCCTCATCCTAACAAATGCTATAAACTCCAAAACCATTCCACCACAGTAGAGCAAATTCTCTGCAGCTACAATCTCCTGAAAGCTTAATCCAGACAATAGTAACACACCTGAAGCTGAAAACAGAATCCCTAACATAGGTGTCCCGTAACGAGACCTTTTCGCAAAGATCTCGGGAAGCATACCGAGTTCAGCCATTCCTAGAAGCTGAAACGAATCACTACTCATTTCGGCTAAAAACATTCCCATGTTTGATGTAGCTGCAGCCACTTGAACCCATAATCTCAACCATCCTCCACCAATGGCTTTAGCAACATCAGCTAAGTAACCATCTGTCCATAACTCGCGGTCCAACGGGATAGCCCCGGTTCCAGACAAAAGAGGGAGGAAGTTCGAAAGAGCTACAAAGATCACAGCGTAGGACAATGCCTTGGGAAGTGTTTGCTTCGGGTTAGCCACTTCACCGGCTAGTGTACTAACCGAGTCCCAGTAGTTAAGATTCCAGAAAAGAGTGTTTAGATACAAGTTCCAGTTGACATTTCCTAAATCCATCACAAGCCATCTCGACGGCTCCAGCTGCGGAATCGAAACCAGACTCATTACCGCAAACGGAAGCATAGAGAAAACTCCCATAAACACAGCAGTCCAGCCAACAATGGTTAGTCCTCTGTAGTTTAAGTAAGTAAGCAACAGAGTCAAGATCAAGATTGACGCAACTCTTGGCAATCCAGTAGCTAAAACCGGTATTGCGGATTTCAAATAGTCGAGGAACAGAACCGGATACAAAGCGTTATCGATAACCCCGCAAAGCCACTTCATCCAACCTACTTGAAACCCCCAAAAGGGTCCTAAAGCAGAGGAGACCCAAACCACAAAACCGCCATTTATTGGAAACATTGTACTCATCTCTGCAGTGATTAGTGCCTCAGGAATACACCAAATGAAAGGGAAGATGATAAACCCTAAAAGAGCTAATAATGGTCCTGCTGCATTCACACTACCTTCAGCACCAAAAGGACCTCCTGAGACTTCGTAGAATATGAGGAAAACGAGTGGTAACATCGAAACTTTCTGAATCGAATTGGTTGCTGCTTTAGGCAATGAAACATCATCATCGTTGTTAGCGAGATTAGCATAACCAAAGTTATCCATGTTATAGTCTCTCATGATGATGTTCCTTCCCTTCTGAATCAACAAAGAGACAAAGAAAAGAGCTTAAACAATCGGACAAATTCTTGAATCTTTGATACCAAAGTCTTAACATTTACAAAAAGTGAAGGAAGCACGAACCTTAAGAGAATCGAGAGTGTATCAAGATCTTCGTCGTCTGAAGATTAGCAAAGATTGAGATATGCTTAAAGAAGAAAACAAAACTCACCCATATCATTATAGTCCCATATCGTTATAGTTGTCACATCTTGAAAAATATTGAAAGAAATTGTGGTTCTCTGTTTTGAAATTGTCCATATCAAATGACATGTTCTAGATATTAATAAATTTATTTCAAGTTGAGCCAACAGAGACATTTGCGAATTTGCTTTCGTGAGAAAATTTTGTCAGACACTGATACTTGTCTTCGTTATGCTTTCTGGGGTTTTGTGTGAATTTACTTTTCTCTTTTTCCAAATCATTAGCGATGAAATCTTATCCAAAGAATTCAATTTTTCCTCAAACCTTGTTCCCCACAGATCGATACTGGCAAGGGAGATACAAACACATTTGCACAAGTTTATTAAAACCGTATTTAACGATAACCTAACTTTACCGGGAAAGAAAAAAAAACTACAACTTTAGAAGAAGCTGTGAGTAAACAGAGTACAGAGCTTTTTTTGTCAACGGATTCCAAGCTCTGTACTAAAACATAGATGGGGAAAAGACATCAGAACAGTGTTAACGTATCAGAGTTTCTTCGTATTCCCGAGTCTCCTGCTGAAGGTCCGGTAAGTCAGAACTGATGGAGAATTTGAGCCATTTCTTTCGATCCATATGGTTTAGCAAGGGATGCATTATGAAGCCTATGATTAGCATCACAAAGCTTACTGCAGCTACTTTTAGAGACGAGAGTGCTACAACGGCACAGATTAGTATGGTCGGAGGAACACACATGAGGACCGAACCTACAGTTCCGATTGGTATCTTGTAAGGTCTTGATGCAGCAGGGTGTTTCATTCTCATCCTAACAAAAGCTATAAATTCCAAGATCATACCAACGCAGTAGAGTAAGTTCTCTGCAGCTACAATCTCTTGAAAGCTTAGCCAAGACAAGAGTATAACGCCTGAAGCTGAAAACAGAATCCCTAGTAAAGGTGTCCCGTACCGTGACCTTTTGGCGAAGAACTCAGGAAGCATACCACGCTCAGCCATTCCGAGAAGCTGAAAAGAGTCACTACTCATCTCGGCTAGAAACATTCCCATGTTTGATGTGGCAGCAGCAGCTTGAACCCACCATCTCAACCATGCTCCACCGAGCGCTTTGGCCACATCAGAAAAATACCCATCTGTCCATTTCTCACGCTCTAATGGGATTGCCCCGGTTCCAGTCAAAAGAGGGAAGATGTAAGAACAAGCAACTAAGATCACACCATAATACAAAGCCTTTGGAAGCGTCTTGTTTGGGTTTTCCACTTCACCAGCTAGTGTGCTGATCGAATCCCAATAGTTCAGATTCCAGAAAAGTGTGTTTAGATACAAATTCCAGTTCACATTCCCTAAATCCATCACAAGCCATCTCGAAGGCTCCAGCTGTGGAATCGAAATCAAACCCATCACAGCAAACGGAAGGATTGAGAAAACCCCCATAAGCACAGCAGCCCAACCAACTATAGTTAGTCCCCTATAGTTAAGATACGTCAACAAAATAGTCAACACCAAGATGGCTGCAACTCTTGGCAAACCGCTACCTAAAGCCGGGATTCCAGACTTCAAATAATCAAGAAACAGAACAGGATACAACGCGTTATCGATAACACCACTTAGCCATTTCATCCAACCTTGCTGAAACCCCCAGAATGGTCCCAAAGCAGAAGAAACCCACACCACATAACCACCATTCTCTGGAAACATTGTGCCCATCTCAGCAGTGATCAAAGCCTCAGGAATACTCCAAATGAAAGGAAAGATCACAAACCCAAGAAGAGCTAACAAGGGTCCAGCTGCATTCACACTGTCTTCAACACCAAAAGGACCTCCTGAGACTTCATAGAAGATGAGGAAAACAAGTGGCAACATCGAGACTTTCCTAATCTTGTCGGCAGCTTTAGGTGATGAAGGAACCTCATCATCACCGACACGTGAGTAAGGAACGTCATTGTTGCTACTGTACTGTGTCATCTCAATAGACGCCGATTGATCCACAGTGATGATTCTCCGCTTCTGCATAACGTCATCCAGATTTTAAAGGGATTAGAACTCTCCACAACCCAATTAAGGATTTTTGATTATCTGCAACAACCTTTATTAGATTATACTCAAATTTGCTACAATTCTGAATCTAGGGTTCGTCATAATTGGGAAAGCATAAACAAAAGGAGACTTTTTTGTTTCTTTTCTCAGATGGGTAACACTAAAGTAACGATCTTTGAACTGGATCATTCATCAAAAACAGAGAACGATGAAGAAAGGCTAAACCTTTACGAGAAGTGAAGAAGCACGAACCGTGAGAGAATCGAGGGTCGTCTTGAGATCTCCGTCGTATGTTAGGTTAATGAAGCTTTGGAACGATCCAGCGGATGCTTGAAGAAGAAAACAAAACAAACCCCTTTTTGTCGAGTAAACCCAGGTTTTAACAGAATGAATTATAGTTTTATTTATATCGGAAAAAGAGAGATTTCTCCTCGTGTCATCGCAGTGGCTTTTAAAGATTCTTTAATCTTTGGGAGAAAATGTTTCTACAAATGGAGAAGACAAATGCGCGAGAGAGATCACAAAGAAAGATGGATCTGGATCCAGTATTTAACTACAAGTCTATAAAAAATCTCATTAAGAATCTTAATTAGTTACTAATAATTGATAAAAATTGAGAGACAAATGCTTTTTTTTTTCTTTTCACATTGATTCACCTAATATTATTTTTTATTAAAGTTCAATTTCAAACCTAACAACATATAGTAAATGACAATATATTATTTTTATTCATACCAATATTTTATTTATGATAAATACACATAATTTTGTAAAAATATTGGCAAAAAAAAAGTTATATTAGGCAAAAACATTTTGATATTAGGGTGTTTAAATGATGGGTCCATTGCATAAATTGGGCAGGGACAACACGTTTATAAAATCTATTTCATGTGTTCAAAGGGGATATGTGTTAGTTGTACTTGTACCCTTTACCTTTAGCTGGTTTGATCTTTTAAAATCATGCTGGTGTAGCAAATCTAGCAAATGTACAATGTCATGGTAAACATGGTCTGACATTTTATTACCACAGCGTAGAAAACTTCAAATCTTTGCTTTTTGTTTCGAGCTTGGACCTAATTTATATCGTAGAGGGAGTATATACTACACTGAAATAGGCTTTTTGGTGAATGAAGAATAGAATCCTTAATTGTGCCAAATAACGCAAATGGCTCAAGTTATTTTTCTTTTGCTTCTAACAATTTCTTCTTTTAAATTTGGTATAGTAATTCTTTCATGTTTTTGTGCTTCTAACAATTGTTAAAGCTACGCAAATCTTCTTATATTAATAGTATAACATAGTCTTCGTATCTATATTTCTACTTTCAAGTCAGCTTTCATTTGGAAACTGCCTAATTGAAATAACTCTTGATTATCATACAGTGAAAATTTCTCAAGCGTTTTCCTGTACATTCAACATTTTCTTTTTAATATAATTCAGCCACTGTTCCGAGTTATCAAGTTCTGAAACACTTCAGAACATTTCGAAGTGTGGTTTTTTGGTGGAGAGAAACAAATCAACAGTATATCCTTTTAGTCCTTGGTTCAACATAACAACCATAAACTAAACTCTGACGTTTGTTCAAGAATCAGCTGTCTCAGTGAACATTTATCAAACCAACTCTTAAATCAGTAAAAGGGTTATCTACAAATCCGGTCTAATCTATATACTATTAGAATAAATCTCATGCCTGAATCCAATGAATCAAGCTTTGATATAAATTTTGGATTGACAAGAGAAATGTGGGATAGATTTAGTAGGCAGAGAGCGGATAGAGAAACCGCAACACCTGTGGATCTATCCCAACGGTTGTCTGGCCGCTTACTGAATTAACAGCTATCTCTTTACGCATCCTCGACAATGGCCATACCACCAGAACGAGGCATGACCTTTTGAATACAAGGTGCAATAACAAAAACAACTCAATAACACAAGAGGGTTCAAAAAACTTCATATACACAAAACTTGTAAGATAGATTTAGTAGCTGAAAGCAGATGAAAAACTCTGCTTCACCTGTGGATCTATTCCGACGGTTGTCTGGCCGCTTGCTGATTTAACAGCTCTCTATTTCTGCACTTTTTTGCTAAAAGACTATGCCACAGTAATCGACATAGCCTTCGATGCATAGTGCAAATCTCATCAATCTCATAAACCCCAAAACACATGACATTTGTGACCGATAACAACAAAAAGCATCAAACTTTACTACCGATTGAGAATCTATTTTCAATTTAGAGCAAAACCCAGATACGAAAGCATTAATATGAGCTAATTGAGAAACTCCGACACTGAAGCGGCGCCGGAGATTGAGAAAGCACGGCGGTGGATACAAGAGTATAAAATTAGGGTTCTGAGTGAAGTGTCTCCGTTCCATTTTATAAAGAAACGTGTTCTCATCTGTCTTATTGGGCTGAACTAATAAAGCCCATAGTTTTTATTGATCCGGGTCGGGTTGAGATTAACTGGGTCCTTTTAACGGCGGCTATGTAATTAGGGTTTAAGTTTAACAATGGTCCAATGGAGGACGTTGCTTCTTCCATCAAATAAATTTATTGGGCCGTTCACCCTAAAGGCCCATACTATTTGTTAAATCGGTTTGGGATATCTCGGATAAATTTGGACAAACCGGGTTGCATTTTTTTTTTTTAATTAGTAAAAAAAATCAGAGCCGCTCTGTTTCCGCGGCGATGGGAACTTTGTGAAAGATGTTTCTTTTGTCTTCATCGTCTTCACAGTTACGCAAGATTTTCCCGCCTTTTTACTCTGTGTTCGTGAAGCTGAACAGTGTGAACTCTCGTCTGTATTCGTCTGATTCTGCTAAAGCCCTCGCTGCCGGTATCTCTAAAGTAATCAAAGACGGAAGCTTTAACTTATTTGATTCTTACTACGGCCTAAATTTGCAACGCAACGAGACGGATTTGGTCGTTCTTTCGCTTGAATCAGAACCCAATTCTGCGTTAGAGTACTTTCGATGGGCAGAGATGTCTGGACGGGATCCTTCTTTTTTCACCATTGCTCATGTTTTGATCCGAAATGGGATGTTCGATGTTGCAGATAAGGTGTTTGATGAAATGGTTGTCAATCGTGGGAAGGATTTTCACGTTCTGGGTTCGATTAAGGATAGGTTAATGGAGGTTTATTTGAACCATGGTGATGTTTGCAGGTTTTTGATGGAATGTTGTTGTAAATATGGTATGGTTGATGAGGCTATGAAGATATTTGTGTGTAGTACTCAATTGGGTGCAGTTATAACGGATGATACTGTATATAGGATGCTAAATTCTTTGATTGATGGTGCTCGTGTTGACTTAATAGCTGATCATTTTGATAAACTATGTAGAGGAATCGTGCCTTCTGGGGTGAGTGCTCATGGATTTGTAATTGATGCTCTTTTCTGTAAAGGAGAGGTTACAAAGGCTTTCGATTTTCACCGGCTAGTGATGCAGAGAGGTTTTCGTGTTGATATAGTTTCTTGTAATAAGATTTTAAGGGGTCTTTCTGTTGATCAGATAGAGGTAGCTTGTCGAATGTTACATTTGGTGTTGGATTGTGGTCCTGCACCTAATGTGGTGACTTTTTGTACGTTGATTAATGGGTTTTGCAAAAGAGGTGAGATGGATAGAGCTTTTGAGCTTTTTAAAGTTATGGAACAGAAGGGAATAGCGCCAGACTTGATCGCTTACAGTACTGTAATTGATGGATACTTTAAAGCAGGGATGTTAGGAATGGGTCATAAACTGTTTTTGCAGGCCTTACATAGAGGCTTGAAGTTGGACGTAGTTGTTTTCAGTTCAACCATTGATGTATATGTAAAACTGGGGGATTTGACAACAGCTTCTGATGTGTACAAGAGAATGTTGTATCAAGGGATTTCCCCTAATGTGGTTACCTACACCATTCTCATAAAAGGCTTGTGCCAGGATGGTAGAATTTACGAGGCTTTTGGTATATATGGTCATATCTTGAAACGTGGTCTGGAGCCATCCGTTGTCACTTATAGCAGTCTCATTGATGGTCTTTGCAAGTGTGGGAACTTGAGATCCGGGTTTGCTTTGTATGAGGATATGATAAAGATGGGTTGTCCGCCTGATGTTTTCATTTATGGTGTGCTTGTGGATGGCCTTTGTAAGCAAGGGCTTATGCTCCATGCCATGAGATTCTCTGTTACAACTCTAGGCCAGTCTGTCCAGCCCAATGTTGTAATTTTTAATTCCTTAATAGATGGCTGGTGTAAGTTAAATCATTTTGACGAGGCTTTGAAGGTGTTTAGATTAATTGGGATATATGGTATAAAACCTGATGTAGCCACATTCACGACGCTTATGAGGGTGAGTGTGGTGGAGGGTAGATTTGAAGAAGCGGTATTTCTATTTTTCCGAATATTCAAAATGGGTTTGGAACCTGATGCTGTAGCATTCTGTATCATAATGGATGCATGCTGCAAGCATATGAAGCCAACCATTGGGCTTCAGCTTTTTGATTTTATGCGGAGGAATCAAATCTCTGCGGATATTGCGGTGTGCAATGTCGTCATTAATTTGCTTTTCAAAAGTTACCGCGTAGAGGATGCTTCTATGTACTTCAAAAATCTTCTCAAAGGAAAAATGGAGCCTGATATTGTGACATATAACACAATGATATGTGGCTTCTGCTCTTTGAGAAGGTTAGATGAAGCAGCGAGGATTTTCGAGATGCTGAAATGCACCCCTTTTGGACCCAATTCTGTTACTTTGACTATACTTATCCATGCGCTCTGTAAAAATAATGATATGGATGATGCTATAAGGATATTCTCCATAATGGCGGAGAAGGGTCCTAAACCGAATGTTGTCACATACGGTTGTCTAATGGATTGGTTTTCAAAATCAGTCGATATTGAAGGTTGTTTCAAGCTTTTCGAGGATATGCAAGAGAAAGGTATTTCTCCAAGCATAATCAGTTATAGCATCATAATCGACGGTCTTTGCAAACGAGGAAGAGTGGATGAGGCAACAAATATCTTCCATCGAGCTATGGATGCAAAGTTATTTCCTGATGTTGTTGCCTACACAATTCTTATCCGTGGTTGTTGCAAGGTTGGAAGACTTGTTGAAGCTGCATTGTTGTATGAACATATGTTAAAAAATGGAGTCAAACCAGATGATTTGCTGCAACGAGCCCTTTCAGAATATAATCCCCCAAAATGGTTGATGAGGAAAGGGCTCTGGTTACAGAACAAACTGATGCCTGATTAAGGAGTAAGTGCGCTTCATTTCTACTATTTCCCAGGTGAAGTTACAAGAAATTTAAGCTGTTAAATTCATCTTCTCCTTGGGACCAAAACTAAATTTGAAAACTTGCTTTATTTGCTTACTACAGGTTATGCAAACCAAGATATGGAGGAACATATACAAATTACTTGGTGAACCTCTTGCTGGAAAAAGAGGTGTTCTGGCCTTGTAACACAGGAGAAGACAGAAAGTTTAAAGCATTTAGCATCGCCGAATATTAGGTAAACTCTAAACATAATGATGTTTTGATATTAAGTCTGCCCTTTTTGATTAATGTTTAATCTAGGCAATGACATCAAATTGAATTCTTACAGAAACATCATCATCACATTCACATGTGTTAAACATCATATGGGTTGTGTAATTATTCAGGAGTTTAATATCATCAATCATCAAGATTCATACATCTCGTCTCTCTGCTCAAAACAAAACAGTCACATGGGTTTTTGCAAGATAACATCAGTGAGTCACACAGGTGAGCTCTTTATATAACATATCTGGTTTACAGAGGAATCAAATGTACGACGTTATCCATGTGAAGTCGAAGGAGAAGAAACTAGTTAATAAATATAGTTTGATTCGTCTTTAGTCAAGCTTAAAAGAGTTTGGTCAGTAACTACTAATCTGTGTACAAAGTCAAAATGGTGAAAATCCTAAGACACCCATGTGGGAAAGTTTGAAACTTTAAGCACATTGTCATGTTACTTACATCAATTCATTGATAATGACCGTACAATGTTACTATTTGCGTGTTTGTTAAGTCTTAACTAAGAAAACATAGCTTTTTGTATTTGCATTATTCGCAAATGACAAAAATGAATTATTCTGTTGTATTGTGTGATAGATTAATTGTATTAATCAATGGAAATACATTTAATACAAATAATCACACAATACTATTCAATGTATTTGCAATTTAATCAGGGTATAATAATTACTTTAAAATATAAATACGAATTTTTTTATAGTCAATTTCAAACACAATTATTTGGCATTAAAACAGTCTCACCAGTAATAAATACCTATCAGTCATGAGTCCATCCATAGACCATAATAATGATATATGGTCATCGGTAGATACTCGAGAGTGTTAGTGTATATGTCCGCATCAAACTTTTTTGCTACAAGACCCATGTTTTGGTCTACAACGTTGTTATTATTTTTTGATATCTACGTTTTGACTATAAAATTTTCCCATGGTCACATACATTATACGGATACGGTCCACTACTAAAACTTATGATTATTTTCAAAAGTGTTATTATTACTGCAACCAAATATACTTTGTAACTAGAACCAGTGAGGTCAAGATCTGAGAGAGAGCACATAGTTTTTTGTTAAATTTAAAATTCCAAAGCAAAAGAATAAAGGCAGTAGCATTCTACTGTCGGTGCTCTTTTTATTCCTCAGCCGACATTATTTATTTATTTTGATTTTATTAATACTTTAATTATGAGGTGAAACCATTTTTATATTATTTGGGTTTTTGCAAGCCTCGAAGAAAAAAATATTTGACGCTGAATGAAGAAGAAAGATTACAAAATATTGCATTGTTCATGAAAATGCGTATCGGTGTCGTCGTGAAAACTGAAAAGAGTCTTAAGTAAGACTTTATGTTGGATTACGTGTTAACTTACAAGTGGTTCCATGATGACTTATATAATTATATCATTCATAAATATCCCATGCACTTATTTTTCTTTCTTTTTTTTCCACTTTATTAGAGTTAGATCTCGACCTTTTTTCCATATAAAAAATTATAAGTAGAGAAAGAAAAAAAATAAGGAAGAAAAATCATCGAAACTAGACTGATTTGATATATACCAACCTAATTTTACAGAAAAAATCAATGGTAACTAATACTATATCAGGGCTTACACTACAAAACTTATAAATATCACTTGTCAAATTTAACTCAATGTAATTCAGTGATTTATAATGTTTAGAGATCAACGAAACAAAAAAAAAAGGACAAGAAATAGTGACAAGAAAACGAACAAAGACAAATACGTATGGTCCCCTAGACTCTCCCAATGGTGGAGGTTCCAAACATCAATGATGAAGAGATGGGTTTTACTACTTCAAATTAAGGTCTCTCACTATGACTAATCATTAACTATGATTTGAATTTGCTATATTAGAATCTCATGTATAATAAGTAGACGAGGTTAGCAAAAAAGTCGACACATTCTTTTTAATTTTTCTACCAAATGTATATCATCAGTGTACAATTTTAGATAATTATTATACATATAAAAAATAGAATTTTGTAGAATACTCCTCCAAAGTAAAATAGTGATTGATTTATTTTGTTTCGTTACATTACAAATATGAATCTATATAGACATCTCCAATGCTAGACTCTATTTTAGTGTAGTTATTTTATAGCACCACAAATTATTTTTTTCTCAAACTTTAACACTAAATCTCACACTATTATTATTTTTTAAATCTTTCTAGAACTATTTTATTTAGTTTAAACAGTTTTTTCTATGTTTGATTTTTATGTTTCCAATATTTTATGTATTTTAATCAATTTGAGTATGAATTTTGATAGTTTATAACTAAATATTTCTTCAAAATTAATTGACACAAACATAATTACAGCATAGCACAAGACACCAAATATCACACAAACTCTATTATACTGTTAATCAAAGACTTTCATTATTATTCCTGTATTTAATAGTTTTCATCAATACTTATTATATCCCTATATTAGTAAAAGAGAAGTACAAAAAGTGTTTCCGGATCGGGTCATTTTCAAAAAATTACCCGAAATTTATAATTGGATCTTTTAAAATTGGATAGATTAATGGGTTTGGATACATACACCGGATACTTTCCAAATCTAATTTTAGGATTGTATTATTTCCATAACTAATTATAAGATTTACTAATATTTCTCTAACTAATTTAATACAATCTATTTAAATAATATTATTCTTCTTTCACTTTTATTTGATATTATTTTTAATTTATGATATTATACTATATAATATAAATATTTAATAAAAATTTAACTTTTAGTTTGCATATGTTGCAATTTGAATTTTTCAAAACGGACATATAATACTCAACTACACTCGGTTAAATATTTTGGACAACGGTTTAAAATAATTATAAGTATGACCAATATTAAAACCATTGTTACATGAGCATATTTAATATTTCAAATAGTTTCAAAATATTATAAATAAAAGGTTCAAATATATAAAACTATTAGAATTTAAAATATCGAAATATTTTTTTGAAGACATAAATGTAATTTTGGAGACATAATTTTTATTGATAATATATATTATTTATCAAACTATGTAAAATTTAGATAATTCACGGGTAGTTTGTTAAAATCACAATTATAATGATAAAACGAGTTACAAATAATGTTTTTTAGGAAGTGAATTCTGTTACGGGTTGGACTTTCAAAAAATATATTGTAAATATGTAATTTTTACGTATATTCCTACTTTTAGTACAAAAATGGTCAAAATGAATAATTTATCGATAAACATTATTTCGTGCTATTAAATTTTCACCGTGTTTTTAATTGTATCAAAACTCAGTATATGATTACTTACTAGCTTTTCCTTTTTTTATTTTATTAAAACTTATTATACAAATATATGATTTACCGTAATCATAGATTTACTGCACTATAACAAAATTAAAATGTAACATATTATAATCCGATAAAAGTTATATATATGTAATTATTTCCTCCGCGCTTAAGCGCGGGTCCGAACCTAGTTATGTAGTAATAAAATACTACAACTACATCAACATTACTTATTTATTTTATTATTTAATTTATCAGTTTATTACTAAAACAACAAGTGAATAATGCTTACCGTTGTGGATAGTATCACACCAAATTTGGGGTATGAGTATGACACTATTGTATCACATTCAAAGAGAGTCATGTATAAGTTTCCATTGAAGATGGTTTGATGCAAAAAAAAATAAAATAAAACAAATTAACACCAAAATGGGGTTTAAGTAACCCATTAGATAGTTTTTGGTTTTGTTCACACTTAACCACTTTGTGGTAGTCGCCACTGTGACAACAGCTTTCATATTCCCTCATCAATACCGTCTCACATACCCCCAATGGGGAAGTTAGAAACAGAAAAAGTAATATCAAAGAGATTTAACAATTTGTCTAAATTACAATAAAGGGAAACTCTTTTTACCTCTGTCGCAAAAATATACCAAAAAGATCAGAAAAAAATATAATAAAAATACCAATAAAAGAAATCGAAAAATCAAGTGAGAGAGAGAGAGAGAAGAGGAGGAAGAAGAAGATGGGAACGAAGGAATGAATCAACCAAGGGAGAAAGAAAGATATTTTTGTATAAAACCTTTCTCTGTCTAGCTGTTAAGTATCACTTCTTGTCCAAAAACATAAAAAGAACACAGACTTGAGAGTGTGTTAGAGTCTTTTGAGAGATCTACGGAGATCTCTTCTCCCTTCATCCTAGGACTCTTACTTCTTATCTCTCTACCTACTTCAACTCTTATCTCCAGATTTTTCCAAGAAATTTCAACTCTTCTTCTTCTCTTCATCGAAAGACAAAACCAAAAACACTGTAAGTTCGCAGTTCTGTTCATCTTCCTCTGTTTTTTCCTCTATGTGTGTGTGTCAGATCCATTTGTTTAAAGCTTGTGAGCTGTACCCATTGTTTATATAAGACTTGTTTTTGTTAATCAGTTAAAGATCTGATATTTCGTTGAGTTTTTTTCAGAACTCTTTTTTTCTTTTTTTTTGTTCCCCAATTTTTTTCAATTTGATGCAAAGTTTCAATCTTTGGGAAAAATGCTAAAAATCCATAGTTTGGTGAAAATCAGCAACTGTTGATGTTGAGACTTATATTTTTAGCGTTAAAACAAATGAGTAGTTGCGTCTTATGTCTTCCAAATTCAACTTTTTTGACCTAGTGGGATGCTTTAGGGGGGATGGCTTTAGTTTTGGGGACCCATAAACCATGTATGAAATTGCGACAGAACTTACACTGTGTTGGAACATGTTTGGTTTCAGATCTCATCGATCCATTTGCTCTAAATCTTAAATCTTGTGTGTTGTATTGATCAAAGATCCAAACTTTAATTGCTGATCCAGCTGCTTAAGTCTTCAGTTAGGCTTCTTCCACTTCCTTAACAAAGTCATTTTTTTGGTTGTTTCATAGTGAATTTGTGTGATAAGAATCTTTAGTTCAGTTGATCTGCTGAGTGCTTTTGATCTGATTATATATTTGGTTTCACTGAATCTACTACAGGTGGGGTTTGGTTACATCTCTAGGTGTAATAGAAGTATGAAGAGCGGGAAGCAATCACAACCGGAAAAGGGTTCTTCTAGGATCTTGTCACTGACGATTCTGTTTATTGCATTTTGCGGTTTCTCCTTCTATCTTGGTGGTATATTTTGCTCTGAGAGACACAAGATCGAAGTTAAAGATGTCACAAGTACCACTACAAAGGCTGTAGCTGCCCCTAAAGAACCCACGGTGTCACCTATTCAAGTCAAATCCGTTTCTTTCCCGGAATGCGGGTCAGAGTTCCAAGATTACACGCCGTGTACCGATCCAAAGGTAAAATAGTTCCACTCTCACTTTGTATTTTCACTTTTAGTTGCATATTGATTGAACTATTGTTGTGTTTTCTGTTCTCAGAGGTGGAAGAAATATGGTACTCATCGGTTAAGTTTCTTGGAGCGTCATTGTCCTGCGGTTTATGAAAAAAGTGAGTGTTTAATTCCACCACCAGACGGGTATAAACCGCCTATAAGATGGCCCAAGAGCCGAGAACAGTGTTGGTATAGGAATGTGCCTTATGATTGGATCAATAAGCAAAAATCAAACCAGCATTGGCTTAAGAAAGAAGGAGACAAGTTCCATTTCCCGGGTGGTGGTACCATGTTTCCTCGTGGAGTTAGTCACTATGTTGATTTGATGCAAGATCTGATTCCCGAAATGAAAGACGGAACAGTCAGGACCGCCATTGATACTGGCTGTGGGGTTAGTCTCTCTTCAACTACTCAGTTCTCTTATCTGTTCTGGTTGATAACTTACTCTCTAATCTGTTCCGGTTATAAAAATTTTCCTGGTTTATTTATAGGTTGCGAGCTGGGGAGGTGATCTATTGGACCGTGGGATCCTATCACTCTCTCTTGCTCCAAGAGATAACCATGAAGCTCAGGTTCAGTTTGCTCTTGAACGTGGAATTCCTGCGATTCTCGGGATTATCTCTACGCAACGCCTTCCTTTTCCTTCAAATGCATTTGATATGGCTCATTGCTCAAGATGTCTTATTCCCTGGACAGAATTTGGTAAGTATCTTCTGCATTACAAATATTTATGGCTAGATTTGGAACATTTGGAACTAAGAAACCTCATTCAAATGTGTTGTCTAATCTTGCAGGTGGAATCTATTTGCTTGAGATTCATCGTATAGTTAGACCTGGAGGTTTCTGGATTCTCTCTGGTCCACCCGTGAACTATAATAGGAGATGGCGTGGATGGAACACGACCATGGAAGATCAGAAATCTGACTACAACAAGCTTCAGTCACTTCTAACTTCCATGTGTTTCAAGAAGTACGCCCAAAAAGATGACATAGCTGTGTGGCAGAAACTTTCAGACAAATCTTGCTACGACAAAATCGCAAAGAACATGGAAGCTTACCCGCCCAAATGTGACGACAGCATAGAACCTGATTCTGCTTGGTACACCCCTCTCCGTCCCTGCGTGGTTGCCCCGACCCCTAAAGTCAAGAATTCCGGGCTTGGTTCAATCCCAAAATGGCCTCAGAGGTTAAACGTCGCGCCTGAGAGAATCGGTGATGTTCACGGAGGGAGCGCAAGTGGTTTGAAACACGATGACGGTAAATGGAAGAATAGAGTTAAGCATTACAAGAAAATCTTACCAGCTCTTGGGACAGATAAGATAAGGAATGTTATGGATATGAACACTGTCTATGGAGGTTTTGCTGCGGCTCTCATCGAGGATCCTGTTTGGGTCATGAATGTTGTCTCCTCGTACAGCGCAAATTCGCTGCCTGTTGTCTTTGATCGCGGTCTCATCGGAACTTACCACGACTGGTAAAAATGTTCTTTTTATCCAAAAACACTCTGTTGTAGTTATTTGGTCTTTGTGATATTAACCTGAAACTGAAATTGCAGGTGCGAAGCTTTCTCAACATATCCAAGAACATATGATCTTCTTCACCTTGACAGCCTTTTTACCTTAGAGAGTCACAGGTACGTGTGAATGATGAGATAAAAACTTTCTTCCTCAGGGAGAAAATATAAACTTCTTTTGAAAGGATTCTAAACTGCATAATGCCTTGCAAATTATTTAATGAAGATCTCGGTTTTTCGGTTTTTCGAATTTGCGGTTTTAGGAGATTAATAACCATCATAAATCCAAATAAACTTTTCAGTAGCTGTCACTTAGTTTAAAATTTTGTCTTTGGTATTAATGTGTTTCTTGAACCATATGGGTAATGTGAACAGGTGTGAGATGAAGTACGTTCTGCTAGAGATGGACCGGATATTGCGACCGAGTGGATATGTTATAATCCGAGAATCGAGTTACTTCATGGATGCAATCACAACATTGGCAAAGGGGATGAGATGGAGTTGCCGGAGAGAAGAGACTGAGTATGCCGTTAAAAGCGAGAAGATTCTGGTTTGCCAGAAAAAGCTATGGTTTTCTTCTAACCAAAACTCTTGATAAGGCCACTGTATCAAAGTTAAACTGGTTTGGTATTCATAGTGTACCTCTATTGCAGCAGTTTACAGAGAGACAAAAGGAACTGTTCCTTTGAATCCAAGATATAGCTATAAACAGTTTACTGTCTTCTTTTTTGGTCTGTTTAACTTCTCGGGTATTCCCATTTCCCAGTATAGAATGATATTTATATTTTTTTAATTATATTTAATTTATATTTTTATGTGGTTAAACTCTATTAAGAGGAGGTAGAGACTAGATAAATTAACTGATTGATGCACAAGTTCATATGTTTAAAGTCTCTACTACGAATCATGATTATGGACTTATACAGTATTCATAGTCAAGTTAATAAGTTAAACTGAAAATCAGAGACATAGAGTCAAGAAAGAAGCCATATGGATGATGAATATAAAGAGCTAGTAAGCATGCAAGTGCCAAAAGTGATATTGGCTGGACCGAGAGAAATGAATTAGGGTCATGTACACATGTGTAGATTGAAATATTTTGGACAGGTCAAAGTAGAAGCTACAAAGATCTCAAAGTGATTGAGACTACTAACTTTGTTATACAGGAAAATTATGTTGTGTTGTGGAGAAGTTAGAGTATACAAACCATTTACTATTAGATAAATAAGGATTCATTTATTTCTTATTATTATCACAAAAAATATATGATTATACAATACAGAGTTTTATATTGACCAGTACAAGTTGAGAAACTTCAAAAAATCTAGCAAATACATGTAAACGGTAAATCAAAGAAACAACAGTCACTTTGTACGGTTTTGCTTCTCCTCGATTCCAGATTGAGAGAAGCGTTTCCTAAGAACTGCAAGAACATCTTCCATATTCACACCCCTTTTAGATAGAAGCACCATTGCGTGGTATAACACATCAGCCATCTCTGATGGTGTTCTTGAAACTTCCTCATTATCCTCCAATGTTCTGCATAACTCGTCAGCTTCTTCCCTGAGGCAAATATCCCAATAAGCTTCACAAGGATCTAGCAGAGCTTCACAAGGATCTAAAGCAGAGCTTCACAAGGATCTAATTCAATTGCAGATAAGCGAAAAAATACCTGATCTTTGAGCAAAGCAGAGCATCATCAGTTAATAACCGTCTAGTCCATGACGGTTTACCTTCTTGAGGAACTGTTGATTCTTCTTTCCGCTTGGAAATGATTGATTCTAGCGAATACAATGTTGTCAAAGCTAGCTTGTTTCCTGAAACCTATAATGCAAGTCAGGAAAGTACTTGATCTACTTCAGATTTCAATTAAACTTTTGTAAATTTCGCAATAGCAAACCTCATCATTGTTTAATTGATCAAGAACTGATGTGTAGTAGCAAGTCTCTGCCCCAGTGTGACAGGTAGGTCCATCAGGTGTTCCAAGGTAAATAATCTGAGAAAATACAAACCAATGAGTTTATACAAATCCTTTATGAAAAGAAATACTATTGATTTCACATCTGTGGTCCATGCAAACATACCGAATCTCGATCACAGTCAATGTACACATCAAGGATATTTATGAAGTTATTGGATGTCTCTCCCTTAGTCCATAAGGTTGATCTTGATCGACTAAAGAATGTAGCTTTCCTAGAACTGATGGTTGTGGAGAGGGCCTCCCTATTAACAAACCCTTGCATTAATACAGCTCCCGTGTCAACATTTTGTGCTATTGCCACAGCTAATCCTTTGTCATCCCATTTAATGCTGTCCAACAAGTTATCTACCTAACCCAATAAAACAACAGCAACAATGTTAAATACCAGGGAATACAACAGACGCACAAACAATGCTCATCGAGACAGTAATACAAAGATCACAATATACTTATTAGTCTGACTAGAATTGGAAGAAAAATAAGAAATGTTTCAATTGGAGACTATTCAGTTGTGGAGGACAGATGTAGCCCATGCCATCACAGATTCAGACGACCAAGCAAACGATGAACACCTACAGAGAAAATTCCAGACCAAAAGATGGAAACCATCACAAAGCCTTTCCTTCTCTCTTTTCTCTTTACCAGAGATGTAACAGTTCCAACTCATTTTTAAAAGGGTAGGAACCTGACCATCTCTGGCCAAATCTTAACTATACAGAATGTAATAAACATATAGACTAACAAATAGCAATAAATTAGGGTAAGTCCATGAATCTAAAGCGTATTACTACTAAACCTGAGACCCCAAGACAAAATGTTTTACTTCCAAAGAAATCAAATGTGGTGAACAGATGTAGCCCAAGTCATCACGGAGAAAAGACAGACCAAGCAAACGATGAGCACCTTGAAAGAGAAATCCAGACAAAAAGATGGAAACCATCAAAAAACCCTTCCTTCTCTCTCTTTTCTTTACCAGAGATGTAACAGTCCAAACCCACATGTCAAAGGGTAAGAACCTGACCATCTCTGGCAAAAAAATCCCAACTTTACAGGATACAATAAACATTAACACAAGACCAATCCTAAATAAACAAAGTGTATTCACTATTCTCTAAACTGAACATAAGTTACTTCAGAACTGTGATGAACAGATGTAGCTCAAGCCATCACCAAATGCAGACGACTAAGCAAACGATGAGCATCTTAAAAGAGAAATCCAAACTTAAAAAATGGAAACCATCAAAAAAGCCTTTCCTTCTCTCTCTTTTTTTTACCCGACATGTAACAGTAATCACTCATATGTCAAAGAGTAAGCACCTGACAATGTCTGGTTCAATAATAGTTCTAGATACAATTAAGCTTTACACGATTCCATTGCAGATCATTCTAAGGAAGAGAAATTAACTAGTTTACCTTAGATTGAAGAGCATTGTTCTTATTATCATTAGACGCGAATACAACACTCGATCTGCTTCTCTGCTTAGTGTATTTGATCGGGACGAAGCAGCTACTTCTTGTATATAATGACTGAGCTAATGCATTGTAAGATAATGCCATTAACGACGCTTATATAAGGGGAAAAAAAAGTGGCGGCGGATTGAATAAAAGAGAGTGACGGAAGAAAATGAATAAACCCTAATTTGTTCTGAATCTGTGTATTAGTTACAAAGACAGTGAAGGGCTTTTTAAAGACGGACTCAGGATTATTTGAAATTGACTAAAATGCCCCTATCTAGGTTCTAAATGGGATTTACAAAAGCATCCCTATTAATTATTCTAATTTCAAATCCGCCATAATCTTTTCTTTTTCCCCATTCGTCGTCTCCAGGGGGATTTTGGGATCCAAAACCCTTACAAGATCTCTCCTCCGTGTTATCTATCTTCAACGTTTCGCGTTTGGTTTCCCGACGCATTTCCGGTCATCCCCGGCGTTAGTTTTTCCGATCAGGTTGGTAATTTTACGATTCCATGTATGTATGTGTATCTTCGTGTCTCTTTCTCGGTTTTTCTGAAATCGCTTCTGAGTAGATAGATGCAAGGGTTTGTGAATTTGTGAATTTGATGACGATATAAGACTAAAGCATTTTTTTTTTGGTTTCTGGATTCAGTCTCATGCTTTTTATTTGGCTAGATAATGATAACCTAGGGATTGATGGATGCTTATTCGAGTGTTGCAACTAATTGTTGATTCCGGATATGGTTTGGCATTGTTGTTCATCTGTCAAGTTGTTGATTCCTGCTTGAGCCTATGGTTTCTGAATTGGATATGTATGTATATCTAAATGTTATGTTTTGACTGAGTTTTTTACGTTTATCATTTCTAGGCTTCAAATTATCGAAGATGGCTGCTGCAAGAACAGGAGGAAAGTCTTTAAAAGATTACTTGAAGAAGTATGAAAGTAGTGATGTTGTAGAAAAGAAGAAGAAGATGAAGAAGCAGCAGAAGAAGAAGCCAACTAAACCTGAACCAAAAGGTGTTTTAGTTGTGGATGAAGATCCAGTTTGGCAAAAACAGGTTGATCCTGAAGAGGAAGATAGTGAAAATGATTCAGCAGGTAAATTTCTTGACTTTTTCTTGTTTCCTGGGCTAGTTGCATTTGCAATGCTTTCACTTCTTTGATTTATTAACAGTTCATCTTGACACATTTTGTTTTCTTTTCTTGTTTTCGTGAAGAGGAAAAACCTTTGGTTGATGAAGACATTGAAGTTAAGAGAATGAGGAGGTTGGAGGAAATTAGGGCAAGGCGTGCTCAGAATGCCATTGCTGAGGATGGGAGTGGGTGGGTGACGTTACCTCCAAGCCGTGAAGACACTAGATCTGATATTTCTCCTCCACGTAGACAAAGAACTCGCAATGACTCGCCATCTCCTGAGCCTGGGCCTAGACGTGAGGTTGCAGAAAGAGTTGAAACAGATATGTCACCACCACGTCGGAGAAAACGTCACAATACGCCTTCACCTGAACCTAACAGAAAACATGCCATTAGTTTGGATTCTGTTATGTCACCACCTCGCAAAAGAGGAGCCAGGAAAGACTCGCCTTCTCCTGAACCTAACAGAAAACATGCCATCAGTTTGGATACTGATATGTCACCACCGCGCAAAAGAAAAGCCAGGAATGACTCACCTTCTCCTGAACCTGACAATAAAGGCCCCAAGAGTGAAGATCTATCTACTCCTCGCAGGAGACATATTCATTCTCCATCACATGAATCTAGCAGAAGGCGTTCAGATTCTGTGGAGGTGGACGCTGATTTATCTCCACCACGCAGGAAAAGGGATTTACATGGTTCACCTGTCTCAGATGTAAAAAGGAAGAGCAGTGACCTTTCTCCTCCTCGGAGAAGACGATACCATTCTCCATCACCTGAACCGGGTAGAAGGCCTTCAAGATCTATCGCCTCGAATGCTGACATATCTCCACCCCGCAGGAATATGAATATGAAGGGTTCTCGAGACTCAGATCTTTCTCCTCAGAGAAAAACTGCGGATTCTCGACGTTCGTCTGATAATGTGTCCAGGAATTCCAATTTGGATAGCTCTCCTCCAAGGAGACCTCGCAGAGAATCACCACCTCCTCAAACAGCTAAAGAGCAACGAAAGACCGGACTGATTAGTGGCAAAGACATTGGAAGTGAATATCGAAAGAAAAAGGAGGATGAACAATTGAGGTATAAGCTTTTTTTAGACTGTGTTACTTCTGCGTTTTTAAGTTATAGGTATCATGATTGTTTCTGTAGTATCAGGCGAGAGTGGTTTCCTATTTTCTGAAGTTTCATGTTGCCTACGTCTTCCTAAGTTGCTAAGATTTTGTCTTTCTGTGTCTTTTAATAGGGAATTCATAGAGAGACCAGTCTTCAGTAACGATGATTTGAGATTCTCGACTGCACAGTTTAGGCTGCTATCTTTCTGACAAATTATATCCTTGTGCAGGTTTAAAAATATGGATTCCGAGCTAACTGGTCAAAATGCAGAAGCAGTGTTCCGTGACAAGATCACAGGTGGACTATAGGTCTTTAGTCATTATAAGCTGTAGTATGAATGCATAATCTCATGCCTAACTCCAGATGCTTATTGATATTGCAGGGAAGCGTATAACAAAGGAGGAATATCTTAAATCCAAGGAAAAAAAAGTGATTGAGAAGCCAAAGGTATTGTTTGTTCTTTGCTCCCCAAACTATGTATTGTAATCTAAATCTGAGACAAGTAGAGGAGGTATGAATGTAATTGCCTAATTCTTGTAGGAGATAAAACTGGAATGGGGCAAAGGTTTAGCTCAAAAGCGTGAAGCTGAAGCTAGACTAGAGGAACTTGAGCTTGAGAAGGAGAAGCCGTTTGCTCGGACAAGGTATTTTATTGATTATTCTTCTTGAGCTTGTGGTTGAGCTATTATGTACTTGGTTGTTTATTTAAACAGGGTTTTTTGTTCTGACGTTTCAGGGATGACCCCGAGCTTGATCAAATGATGAAAGAAAGAGTTCGATGGGGAGATCCAATGGCTCATTTGGTCAAGGTATTGAAAATTCTTCTGCTTACTACAAACCTAGATTATGAATAACCAAGATTGCCTTTGGATAAACATATTACCCTAATGTATAACTGATTTTGTATATCGCAGAAAAAGCAGCACGAGACAACTCTTGTGGATCTAGGAGACGACGAGAAGATGAAAAAATCTGGGTTTATTATACCACAAACTGTGCCTAAACATAGTTGGTTGACAAGAGGACTAGAAGCTGCTACAAACCGGTATGGAATTAAACCGGGTAGACACTGGGATGGGGTGGACCGTAGTAACGGTAAGTTCCTCTTATACATTATTCACATTCAAACATTCCATTTAGAAGATTATTTATCTGATCTGTTTTCTTTTCTTCGTGGTGTAATGGTTCAGGAACTGAGAAGCAATTGATCAAGAAGACCAATGAGAAGAAAGCAACGGAAATAGAGGCTTATCTCTGGTCTGTTGCAGACATGTAAAATCAGATTTTGTTCGGCAGAAATGTGGTTTTGATTCAGGAGATAACAACAACCTTTCTAAACAGAGGAAGTTTGTATTTGTTCTATATGTTTGGATAGCTGAACCTTTTAGTGCAATTCTGGATCTGGTTCGAAATGTGAGATAACCATATATAGTTTGGCCCGAGTCTTCACCGGTCGGTCTGATGCAGTTGTACTAAATTCTAACACAATAGAAGTAGTACCCACTAGATAGAAAAAAAGGTTCAAAAGTTTTTTCAAGTTAAATCAAAACATGATGAACTGAACCCATCGTTGTAACTTGTGTAAATCTAAAGTGTTAGTAGATTCGGGCAACTTTATACGGGCCAGCTTATGTTTTTGTGTTGTTTACTTGCAAATTATGCAGGAGACAAAAAAAGTTTTCATGAGTTGTAGTTTTGAAATTAAAATACTTTTGAATCTGATTTGGTTAAATTGGTGGCAACAAAACTCCAACACCTCTCGATAATTTTTAAAAGGTGTACACGATCAAATATGTACTTGGAAATTATTTTCATTTTGACTAATGTTGTATATCATCTTCTTTTCCATAGTAGTAAACTAAAACAACAAAAATCCAATGGGGGAAGAACAAAATTAAAGAAAAAGGATTAAGGGGGAAACCTGGGAAATAGGGAAAGGAATTGGATTGGGAGATAAAGAGAAGATCACCTGATTGATGACTGATGCTTTTTTACCTTTTCTAACATAGGAGAGACTAATCTTTTAGTAATTTTAGTTAAAAAAAATTCATATCAAAACCAATGCATTCGACTAGAAGTGATTTCATTTTCACAAACTTGAAGTTTAGAAAATGCTTTGTTCGATTAGAAAAAAAGTTTTTTTTTTTACCAAATTGGCAACCAAACACACAACTACATTGAAGTTGTTATTGTTTTGATTAAATGAAAGAACGAAATTTTCTCTAAATAACAATGAAAATAACGAATTTTTTGGATAAATTTTGTATATGTAATACTTGTCTTCGCTATACTTTTTTCTAGTTATATAAAATTGTAAAATGAAATCAAACTATAGTCAAATACTCCAATTTGCTTTGGAAGATTTCTTGTTCAAATTAAACATTGTTTTAAAACACTTAAAATAGGAAAAGGGGAGACATAAGAAAGTACATAGCCCATGATTTGAAACTTATCTTTTCCTCTTTTATCAGATTTTCAAACTGTGGTTATATAACTAAGTAATAGTATAGTACTTAGCCTACGATGTGAAACTATCATATGAATATGTACCTGAATGATGTGGATCTATCCTAAAACAACGACACACGACAATAACATTAATACAAACCAACTAGAGAGTACTCAACATGTCTTGTTGTTAGATGTCTACGTACATTTATTGGTACTAATAATAACACTAATATCATTTAATTAGTCATTCCTAAACTTATGAAAAAACGTAAAACAGATTTTGATTGTTTAAGGTTTTTTGGATGTTAACACATCTCTAGCTATATGCATTAAAACTCTTGTTTGTCGCTCGTAGCGACACATTTACTAATATCAGTACTATACTGCTATTGTCACGTCCATCACTCAAATTTACGTTTTTTTGATCGAAGTTAATAAAATTTGGAAGTATCTAAAAGTTAACATTTAATGTATATACACATTGTGGACGTACACGAATTTGCAACACTGCTATTTTTACTACAATTGTACACAATACAAACGTTCACAATAGCATTGATCAGTGTTGAAGTTTATTTAATTGTACGTTTGTTATGACGACTTTATCAAATAAATAGTCTCACTGTTTTTTTATCCTCTCAGCAATAAACTATAACGACAACTCGATCTGATCTCACTCGTTTCCGATTAACTAAGCAAAGTTTTTTGAGACCAAAACCATCAAGAACTACAAGAATTGGTGAACTTTGTTACCAACCCTTTAAATTAGAATAGCTGAGCAACATTAGTTAGTAGAGCTACTGTAAAAGAGTTTTATTACAAATCAAAACATGTATATAAGTCCGTAGTAACTATTAATCATATAAACTTAAATTTCTAAATAATATAAAGATATATGTTTGATAAATATTCCTTAATTTCTTTTTTGAAATATTTATTATAAATTGTAGGATTTTAATAACTAAGAAAATCGTTAGTTTAGGAATTGTTTTTTGGTTAATTTATACGAATATTATGATATTAAAATATTTTTGTATTCATAAATGAAATATGATCTAACTATGTAGTGAAAAGATATCTAAAAAGGAACATCAAAACAAAATAAAAGCCCTAAAGATAAAGAACATCTTTGTAATATTTTACTAGTTAAACAAATCCGAAAAGACAAAACATGTAATGTAAGACAAGATGGGAAGCGTTTTGGGGACATTGACTATACTTTTCTTGCACATTAATCAAATCCTCAACTATATAAACAAAACAATTTGTATTCCACCATAAAATATATTATTTTTCAATGTTTTTAGATATAGTGTTAAAATCACAGAAATATTATAATAAAACTACTTACCAATACTTATATTTAAAAAGTATGGAATTGATTTTATATTTGTCAGTTATGTTCATATAGATGTCTTGGATCTTTATTTGGAGTTTAGCTGTCCCTCTGTTCGAAGCATTCTTTGCTTAAAGACAGGTTAGCCCCATGGAATAAAGCTAAGTTCCCCCCCCCCCCACACCTCCCCAACGTTTTTGGATTAAAGAGAGATGCAAGTTTTTGTAAGTATCATTTTATATTTATAATAATCTGATTTTTTATTTCTTTTTAAGAAAGTTTAGCATCGTCGAACATGTTTGCACATCACCTAAAATGCTTTCTGTACACTACACCTTCGAATTTTCAACGTTTACATTAACATATCGAATTATACGTAGTTCAATATTCAAATTTTAAAAAAAATAAAAATCAATGCTTTTAGTAAAATATATCGGAGTAGTACGGGACGATGTTTGAACATAAGTAAAGTTGAATATTCATATTTTCTAAATTATTACACTAATTAATATTAATGCGTTCCAAAAAACGGGTGATCAATTCATAAATTATATATTATTACAAAGAAGTGTAATGCCTATTACTTAACCGCGAATTAACGATCAATTAGCCTATGCGACTTTAATTTGGACAAGGATATCTTCAAATGCCTAGTAATATTTAAGTAATTTTATAATCAAAAGTTTGTGTTTTAGTTTACCATATATGCATCTTTATCGGAATCAAGTGAGTTTTTTTTTTCCTACAACTTTTATCTAAAAGACAAGAAAAAAAAAATCAATGAACAACACAACAAGACTAAGTAAAGTCAAGCTCGTTCATCATAATTATCTCACAATTTAAAATTATACATACTTACTTTTATGCTACATGTGAAACTTCTCATGCATGGTGAGATTAATTAACCTTTTAACGTTACTAATATATGCTTCTCATGCATCAATTCATCATCACTATTTTTTTTTTTATTCCAATAATGCTTAACTCTCAATATACATAACTAATGGTCAATTTTGCTAAGCTTTTGAGTACTACTAGCTAGAGAGAAATTAATTAAGTTTTCAAGAAAATACAGAAAAAATTAGAAGACAGTGGATGAAAGCAATACAATCATGCAATGTACATAATAAACATATACACGAGAAAGAAACAAAGAAACACACCACATGTGGAAAAATAAATAGAAATAGTTGTATAGTGTCGTATGTATCCCATACTTGAATTCTCTCCATCCACCATATGCCAAACATTAATCCATGATGTGGACATTATATAAGCAAAACACACTTGCAACTTGAAAACACTTTCACAGTATTTAATTTCTCGTTTCCTCTATTCACAAGCGATTCTTTCTTTACTCGTTTAGTAGAAACATCGAAAAAATAAAATAAAACCAAAATATGTCACACACACGTACACACACACACCAAAAGGTCTAAGTGTTCATATTTTTGGATGGATCTGATTACTCGGATTTTGGATCATTCGGATATATAGGAATGTTTAGAATCCGAAAGTTTTCGGATCGGACTGGTTCATATTTCTTTCCAAATTCGCATAGATTACAAATTTGTTAGAAATCCGAAGTTTAACCAAAACATAGATAAGTTTGTTTCCAGATAATTTAGATATGAATTATCCAAAATATATGATTCAAATGATCCGAATTACCTAACTAACCATGATGCAAATGAAGTATATAACTAACAATATGTATGTATTGTTTTGGTTTAGCAAATATCCGTTCGGATGTTGGTTCAAATCACATTTTATATAAAATTCGATCATATTTAACTAAGTAACAAAAATCGGTTTAGATCGGACTTTTCGAATCGGTTCGGATTAGATTTTTCGAAATCGGTTTGGATTAGATTTTTCGGATTCCCTCATCATGCCTACACTATACACACACGATGATAAACCAAAACAAGACAAAACGATGAAACATATATATAGATAAACATATATTTTTCTATATATAAAAAAAGATGATGATGAAGTGAACCCACAACGTTAAAACACACACACACACATGACAAAAAACAAAAGCAAAGCGAAAATGGTTGATGCGACGGTTCCCTTAGCCTTGTCAAATATATCGTGACCAAAACCCGACCCCGGTTTCAGCTGTCTTAAACCAATCTTAAACCGCCACGTCACCAACTTCCATCACACGTAAGCCATCTCCGTCACCGTGTAGACAACATGGGCCCGAGCTGCCGTCTCTTCCCGAGACCAAACCAAATTCCTCACCCAACAAAAAAAAAAAAAATACTAACTCCGTTAACTCACGGTCTTTTTTCTTATAAACATGTAAACGCCGTTTATTAAAAAAAATAAAAAATAAATAAATATTCTCTTTCCTCCTCCACGTGTATATATATATATATATATACACACTCTTCGAACAAACAAACCTCTCTTTGTCTCTTCTCTTTTCTCTTCGTCTCTCTCTAGTTAAACAACAGAACAAAAACTCGGAGCTCCGTTTCAGTTCTCGGGTCACCTGATAACCCGAATTCTCTACCCGGTTTAAAAGTTCCTGCCGGAGAAGACGAAGATTTTGTTCAGAATCAGATTCGAGTTTTTTTTTTTATAAAACACGACGAAGACGTTCGTTCAGGTCAGTACTTACACGACTTATGGTGAGAAATTTTCTCGGGAAAATAACAAAACAGAGAGATTCGTTTTTTTTCTTTCTTTCTCTTGTTCTGTTTGAAACGATTACTCACTGATTTTTTGTTTTACACGATCGATCTTTTCAAAAAATATTTCCCGGAAAAAAAACAAAGATTCAGAGTTATTTTTGTTTTTTTTTTGTAATCCACTGTCAACAACATTTGATTGATTTGATTTAGACAGATTCGATTCGTCATTTCATTTTCTCTCTGATTAAAACCAAATAAGTTTCTATAATCTTTTTTTTTTTTTTCTTCTTCCCCAGATTTTTCTTTCTACACTCTTAAACCCAATCAAAAAAACTTTCGTCATTTGTATTTATTGTTGCTTAACTTTTTCGTTGAGAAAACGCAGCAGTCTTATTTATTTATTTATAAAAGCTGTTAAACAAAAATAAATTTTGTATTGGTCCTTTTGGTTCTTATTGTATAAACACACACATTTATTACAATGAAGTAGAGTCTGTAACACTAGACTACACTACACTCCTCTGTAGCTGCAGCCATTGATGATGGTCTATTCTATTTTTAGGCTTTTAGACACATAACCAAAAAAAAACCCCACTCGTGCCGGCGTCCTTAATAGTCCCAATCCTCTCTTCTCAAAGATCAAACCTTTTTTTATAATTTCAAATCAACGTTGATTTGTTTCTCAGATATCGACACAACATAAAGGTTAGTAGTAAATTCTTATATAAACCAGTTACTAATTACTCCATTATAATCAATGCTTTGATTCAAGAATATAAAAAAAACAAGAAGTCGTTTTCTGAGGTGAGAATAATAATAGCATTTTTTTTTTGTAGTATCAGTTTTTGCCTTTGCTTTTGATATCAAAAACTGAGTTTTTTTTTTTTTTGTTGTTGTTATTTTTCGTGATTCGTGAATGTTTTTAAATTTCACTTTCGAATATATATATCCATAGAGGCTAGAGCATTTCTTTTTTCTCATGTCGCGACACGGTTTAGATTGGTCCATCATCATCACTCAACAAAAAAACCCTAAAAATAGAAACCAAACTCTTTTTCTTTTTCTTAACACGTGACTGTCTTTATTCCTTTTTCTTGCTAAGTTTTTTTCCCCCAATTTCTCGAATATTTTTTATTTTCATTTTTAGTTCATATAGTATATAAATTTTCGGTGCTAAAATTGGGAATCTGAACCATATTATTTGATTCTTTCATTATAATGTAATTTTTTTTTTAAATGTCAGAAATTTCGGCTACTGTAAAAAAAATGAAAAATGTAATTATTCTTATAGCTTTTGGTTAGTTGAGGAGGTATAGGATCTTTTTTTGCTGCACACTTAAATTTATTTTAAAGTAGAATAAAGAACCATTGGTCTCTGTTACGATCGTCTTTAGAATATTAATGTGTTTTTATACCATTTCAGGTGTTTAGATTTGCTCTTTTATTTTTATTTAATTTTTTTCATTGGGGTCATATCCTCTGATCCCCAAGCTCTCTTTCTTTATTTATTTTTTCTTGAATAAAATCTTATTAAAAACATGTTTTTAAAATAAAGAAAAGCGTAACACTTTTGTATCTATCAAGTTCACTCTACTAGTTTTAATTTTTTTTTGAAAATATTTTAGTTCTTTAATGAGAGTTTATTAGACTACCAATATCAACTTTTTATCAATCAATCAAGTTATAACATGAGTTAGTAAGTAGTTGTTTCCTGACTAGAGAGATATGTCATCAAACAACTTTGTCTTTTTCTGTTTGTGTGTTTTGTTATAAGAAAACGACAAATTTAAAAAAACCCCAAATTCTCTTTTCAACTTCTCTAACTAATGTTTACAATTGTCTGTTACTTATTTGTGTAGGACGACTTCATCATTTCCTCTATATATTTTTAATAAAACTGTACTATGATTACATAAGCTTCTCTACCCGTGTTTTATGTCGGATTGTGGATTTAGCACTAGTCTACTACGTCTCTTTAATTATTTCAATCTTTGAGTAGAGTAGTAGTAGTAAGAGTGGTTTGGTTGTGACTTGTGAGATTTTATTAAGTAGTAGACTCTCTGTTTCTTTTTTTATGATAGGGGGAGCTGAAAAAAGGCAAAGAGAGAAGAAGAAAGAAAGAAACAGGACCAAAAGATGTTTTCTTGCATAGCTTGTACCAAAGCAGACGGAGGTGAAGAACTCGAACATGGAGCGCGTGGTGGTGGCACCACTCCCAATACTAAAGAAGCCGTCAAAAGCCTTACCATACAGGTCTCTCTCTCTCTCTCTTCTCTTCTCTTCTTTCTTGATGATCCCTTCTGCTTTTGTTTTCTTTCTTTCTTTCACTTTACTTTTACTGCTTTTTTCTTCTCTATGTATATAATTTGCCTTGCTCGTGAAACAAACCAAACGTATCTTAAGAGGATTAGTAAAAAAAGAAGAAGCAATCTTTAGATATAAGCAATGTATTCTTTTGAATTCGTTTTGGTATATAGAGGTTACTTGGTTACTGTTGTTTAGGACAGTGATCTTACAATGATGCAACTTCACTTCATTTTGGAATCTTTCACCAGATCTCTCTTTTAATAGTTTTCATGTCAGTGTTTGTTTCCTCCCTTATGTGACTAGACATTGAAAAGTCAAAACTAACACAATTTAAACCTATACTGTAAAAAAAAACTTTAAATTGAGTTTTGTTTTTGGATTCTAGTGTGGCTGATTAAAGTTTTATGTGATGGGGTCATGCTTTGATGAATATTGCTAATGAAGACTGATCTAAATAATTGCTTTAGTGGATTCTTACCTAGACAGGAAATAAAGAAAGGGTTTAAGTGTGGGTTGTAAACTATTTTAGTAAATCAAAAGAACTAAAAGAATGAGTTCTCATAGCTTTATTTGATGTTCTTTTATACTTATGTTAGATCTCATAGCTTTATTTGATGTTCTTTTCAAGAATGATCATTATAGTAGATCTCCTTTTTACTTGCTTATGATTAAAGAATGGCTATATACTTACTCATGTTTAAAGGCCTAAAACTACCTATAATGTTTGTGAAATGTTACTTTCAACATTCTTGTGTATTATTTTATTTATATGCTAGTTTGATTAATAAAGATTTAGCTAACTGGTGCTTTTGGGTGCCTAATATGTTGTGCAGATCAAAGATATGGCTTTAAAATTCTCTGGTGCTTATAAACAATGCAAGCCATGCACTGGTTCCTCTAGCAGCCCTTTAAAGAAAGGACATAGACATTTCCCGGATTATGATAATGCTTCTGAAGGTGTTCCTTATCCTTACATGGGTGGAAGTGCTGGCTCAACTCCTGCTTGGGACTTCACAAATCCAGCAGGACGGTCAGAATCAAAATTTACATCGATATATGGGAATGATCGAGAATCTATCTCTGCACAGTCTTGTGATGTGGTACTGGATGAAGAAGGGCCTAAAGAGTGGATGGCTCAAGTAGAACCCGGTGTTCATATCACATTCGCTTCGCTTCCTACTGGAGGAAACGATCTCAAACGGATCCGGTTCAGGTAGTTGATTAACTCAAAACAACCTCTATGTGTGTGCTCTTTTTAAGTTTGTAAATCAGAGAAGTGGTGTGGCTTGAGTCTTAAACAGACTCTGTATGTCTTGTCTCCTGTTTCAATATTGGTTGGTTTAGTTGGAAAATGCTTGAGATACCAAGTGCTCAAGATATTTTACGTCATTACATTCAAAGATAGAAACTAACCATTACTTGTGTCTTGTTTTGAAAGCCGGGAGATGTTTGATAAGTGGCAAGCTCAACGGTGGTGGGGTGAGAACTATGACAAGATTGTTGAGCTTTACAATGTACAAAGATTTAACCGCCAAGCTCTACAAACGCCTGCAAGATCCGAGGATCAGGTCTTTCATCTTTCTTCAGACAAGAACCTTTGTGAATCTTGTCTTTTTATTTCAAAGAAAGGTAACACAAGCTTTATTTACAGTCACAGAGAGATTCAACTTACTCAAAGATGGATTCAGCTAGAGAAAGCAAAGACTGGACTCCAAGACACAACTTCAAACCTCCAGGAAATGTCCCACATCACTTCTATGGCGGCTCTAGCAACTATGGACCAGGAAGTTATCACGGTGGACCTCCAATGGATGCAGCAAGAACCACCACTTCATCCAGAGATGATCCACCATCCATGAGCAATGCTAGTGAAATGCAGGCTGAGTGGATCGAAGAGGATGAACCCGGTGTTTACATTACCATCAGACAATTAGCAGATGGGACTAGAGAGCTACGTCGAGTCAGATTCAGGTATGAATAAAACATCTACTAAACTATGCATTTAGATTGGATTGTCAAGTGCTTAAACCACAAGATGTTATAGAGATATTGAAACTCAGTAACTAACGGGAGTGTATGCAATTTGGTTTATTCAACAGCCGGGAACGATTTGGAGAAGTGCATGCAAAGACATGGTGGGAGCAGAACAGAGAGAGAATACAAACACAGTACCTCTAAGAAAAAACAATATGAGTCGTCTCTCTACCAAATCTTTAATTAATTAATCTCCTTCACACAACAATACAGCTATACACATTTTGCTAATCTTTTGTTCATCTTAGCTTAACATCTATACATAAACTAAGTGTTTTGAATCATCATCCTGTACATCAAAGCTGACTACATATACTACCGTTAACAGTTAAAAACTTAATAGACAAAAGCTTTGACCAGTAGGAATATACTCAATACTATGAATTAGAAGATTAATGCGATATCGAATCAACCTAAACGGGTCTCTATAGAATTTGTACATGCTCTACATGTTTTCTTAATTAAAGAACAGTATACCATGTCAAGTATGAATCTAACTATTCTTTAATTCTATCTAAATGTTTCTCCTCTAAGGAATTTTAAAATATATGAAATTTTAGTTCTTATTCTTAAAGAACTGATCAACATGTGGTATAGAAAACAAAAGTCAACTTTATAATTTGCTTATTTATACAAGTTATCACGATTACAAAGTGGAGAGTTGACCATTTGAGAATCTAGATGAGCAAACCATAGAAATGTTTGGAGAAAGGTCACCATAGTTCTATCAATGGCCGAGATCTCTGATATTACTACTCAGACTCCAAACACCGTCTCGGACATCGAAGATGGTCAATCCGCTAATCATTCCCTGTCACAGGACGTCTCCGGTCCTCTTGTATCCGTATCGTTCGTTCAAAAGGTGAGCGACATGGTTTCTAAGTTATATCCTTATTTGTTAGTCAAACTCAAGATTTTATATTTCGTTGATGTTATATGCAAACTAATCTTTTAGCTTTCTAGATATTAAGTATAATCAATACCATCTTATCCAACTATATATGTAAATCCATCTTATTATGGTATTCTCTATAGTTGATTGGAGAGTTCGTAGGGACATTCTCTATGATATTTGCCGGCTGCTCGGCCATCGTTGTGAATGAGACGTACGGCAAACCAGTGACACTTCCCGGTATAGCTTTGGTATGGGGACTAACCGTAACGATTATGATATACTCAATTGGTCATGTCTCCGGTGCACATTTCAACCCTGCTGTTTCTATTGCCTTTGCCTCTTCTAAAAAGTTCCCTTTTAATCAGGTGATCCAATACTACAATTGTAACAAAAATATATGCCTGTTCACGAGTATTTGGTTAAATCAAGTTTTTATATTTTGGTAATAATTTGTGTATATATATGTAATGTGGTTGTTGTAATTGTATATTTTGACAGGTTCCCGGGTATATAGCCGCTCAAGTGCTTGGATCGACCTTAGCTGCCGCAGCTTTACGGCTTGTGTTCCATCTGAACGACAACGTTTGTAGCCTCAAAGGCGATGTTTATGTCGGAACATATCCATCAAACTCAACCACGACATCGTTCGTAATGGAGTTCATTACTACTTTCAATCTAATGTTCGTTATATCAGCTGTTGCTACTGATAAACGAGCCACCGGGTCATTCGCGGGAATCGCGATTGGTGCGACCGTAGTACTCGATATCCTTTTCTCCGGGTAACTAAGCTATATAAACCCTTCATACATTTTCAATTCTTATACTGTTAATATGTAATATAATTTTGGTTAGGCCAATATCGGGAGCATCTATGAATCCAGCAAGAAGCTTGGGGCCTGCACTTATATGGGGATGTTATAAGGACTTATGGTTATACATAGTTTCACCGGTGATCGGGGCGTTATCAGGTGCATGGACTTATGATTTGTTACGTTCCACAAAGAAATCATATAGTGACATTATTCGTCCAAATTGCAATAAAGTTTCTTCGAGAGATCGCCAAGAAGCTTGTCAAGATGAGATTTGTTTTCTACGAGTGGTTGATCAGGCTAACCACAAGTATTTTATATGTTCATCACCTACTGACATTGACATCAATGAGAAATGTAATGTTACATGTAAGTTGGCGTGAGAGATTGATGTACGACTATATATACCCTCCACGCTAATCTAATACCCATGTTACACATTCGGGTTTTGATCTCTAACTATGTTTGTTGGTGTTTTGATTGTCTGCGATAAATGATAAGGATTAAAAATCAAGAACGTTAAAGAGTATGTTTTAGATTCGCGTTCACCTATATTAAAAAAGAGAAATTTTTATAAAAGAACTAGTTTAGTACCCGTCCGATGGACGGGTTATTTTTATTTAAAATTAAATTAAAATTAAAATTTATTATAACTTACAAAAAAATAATTTCCAAATTTTTTTTTTGAAAAAATAAGATAAATTAATTTCATTTGGAAAGAAATTTTATTTAGTTTGAAGTATCAAATAAACGTATATATATATATATATATATATATCTCTTAAAATTCGTTATTAAACATTAATTATAAAAATCTAGTAATGTCAAATTGACAATCACCAAAACATTTGGGAGCTATTCACCATTACTCATAATATTGCTAAAATATTTTTAAAAAATCTTAATATAGCAATTATCCTCTAAAACATGATTATACCATTTTGTATAAAAATTTATTTCTTAACTTTCAATTTTTCAAAAAAATCATTCTCTGACTATGAAAATTAATTAATTATTATTTAATATGATGGTAAAGTTTTTTCAAATTAACATCAATCTAAAATATGATGCTAAATACAAATATTGTCATTTGTAAATAAATTCATATAAACAACGCAAATAAACATAAAGATTCTAAAATAAATTATAGCATCGTTGAGGAAAACATTAAAAAATCTTTCAAATACGAATTATAAAAAATTACATATTTTCTTTAAAAATATTTTAAAATTACTATATTACGATTTATATTGAACTTTGTTATCTTTAATTTAAGATAAAAAAATTATTTTCAAAAATATTTTATTCACCCTTATGTTTTAGACAATGAAATTGCTCAATGGCATATACATTTATAAATAAATTAAAAACTAAACAAATATAACATATTATAAAATAAAAATCATGAATAAAATTATGTATTTAGTTAAACTCAAAATCTAATTTATTTGTAAACTGTAAATCCTAAATCTCCTTTATGAACCCAAACTGATAAAAAACCTTGTTGAATTGTAAAACCTAAATCTCACTCCTCTTTAATAAACTAAAACCGATAAATAATCTCGTTTAATTATAAAATCTAAACTATAATGCAGATTTATAAACTCAACATATAACCCTTATAATTGTAAAACCTACAACTGGCAAAACCAAAAAGTATGTTAATAGTTGAAAGAGGATTTTTGAGAAATATCACTTTTGGTGTACCGTTTTTTAAAAATACACCAATTTTCTATCCTTTTAAAAAATATCCCTTTTCAAATCTGAAAAATTGTAAACTTTATATAGTTTATAAGGTACATCTAGATTATCATTACTATTGGGAGACTCAATACAAATATTTATAAAGTTTTAAAAAGGTTCTAAACAGCATTTATAAGACTTTATAAGGTTTTTATAAGGTTTACAAAGTTTTTATATGTTTTTAAAATAGTTTTTAAAAGGTTTTTAAAAGGTATTTATATAGTATTTATATTTACACACATAGAAAGATAATTGGGAGAATTTCAAAAATACCCTTTTTCATATACCTCTTTTTAAAAATACCCCCTTTTCAAACTTTATCAAAAAACCCATTAAAAATGTTGAAATTTATCCAAATATGTGTGTAATCTTATTAATATATACACAAATTACCTTTATATGTGTATAAAACTTTATATACCTTTCATAAATAGCGTAAAAATAAATTAGAAAAACCTTATAAAAACCTTATAAAAACCGTATAAACCCTTTTAAAAACCTTTTAAGAACCTTATAAAACTTATAAAAACGATTTAAAACTATTTAAAACATTTTAAAATATTTGTATCGAATCTCGTAGTAGTAGTTATTATATAGAAGTACCTTATAAACTATATAAAACTTTATAATTTTTTATATTTAAAAAGGGGTATTTTTGAAAATGGATGGATAAAAGGGGTATTTTTAAAAAGGGGTAGACCAAAAGGGGTATTTCTCAAAAATTCTCAAGATAATTTGTGTCTAAATATATAAGCTTACACATTTTTTTTTATAAATATCAATTTTTTTACTTTTTAATTATCAAAAATACCCTTTTTCCATAACACTTTTTAAAAATATCTCTATTCCAAACTTCATAAAAAAAACCACTTTAAATGTTGAAATTTATCCAAATATTTGTGTAAACTTATAAATATACACACAAATTACCTTTATATATGTTTAAATTTTTATATATATTTCATAAATAGCGTAAAATAACTTATAAATACCTTTTAAAAACCTTATAAACCCTTTTAAAAACCACTTAAAACCTTATAAAACTTGTAAAAACGATTTAAAACCTTTTAAAACATTATAAAATATTTGTATAAAATTTCCAAATAGTAGTTATTATATAAAAGTACCTTATAAACCATATAATACCAAAAGGGGTACACCAAAAGGGGTATTTCTCAAAAATTCTCTTTAATTTTTTATAATTACTTTTTTATTGTTGTTTAAAAATTCTATTTGTATCTTAATATTAACAAAATTAGATAAAACATGTTGCGACATCTTATGTTTTTACTTGACACTTATCATGGTCACGTGAGTTAGTAAATTTAAAAACCAAGTTTCGACATATAATCTCGTTTAATTGTTAAAATTAAACCATAATTTTAATTTATAAAGATAAACCATAATTCTTATTTATCATTTATATACTCAAACCAAAAAATAACCTGATTTAATTGTAAAATTAAAGTTTAACCCTTAATCATCTTCTGTAAACAAAAACCAACATATATTCTTGTTAATTATATATTTTAAATCCCTATCTTATTAATAAACCAAATTGACATAACTGAAATTAGATTATTTGTTTAATTTTATTAATAATTTTTAATATATAATTCTTTATAATATTTAGTTTATATATTTCATTTTTCGATAGGATTAATAATATTTCTATTTTATCCAAATATTAACTAAATTAGTTACGACACGTGTCAACATCTTATCGTTTATAATTGACACGTGTCATGATCTTCTTTATAATATTTATTTTATATATTTTATTTTTCGATAGGGTTAATAATATTTCTATTTTATCTAAATATTAACTAAATTAGTTATGACACGTGCCAACATCTTATCGTTTATAATTGACACGTGTCACGATCTTGTTAATGGCTGACTTTGAAAACCAAGGTTTATATAATAAGATAGTGGAAATGGTGATTTCAGATCAGTAAATTTTAAGAAATCTTGATCCGTAAAATAAAAAAATTTAAGAAACCTACTACGAAAATTTATAGGTTCGAAAATATATTTGTTTAAGATAACTTTATATAGTCACGAAAATAAGAAAATATATAAAAATGTGTAAAGATAAGTATAATGAAAACAAAATATGAAATTTTATCAATGTTAATAATAAATTGTAATGATATTACCAAAGAAATAAAAAATGTTAATGACCATATTACAATAAAGAAAAAGCTACCAATAAAAGTTTTCCTTATCCGAAAGAAACTTAAGAGTCAAAACTTTAATTTGACTAGAAAAAAGTGTCTGTTATTAAATTTTTGTTGTTGTAGTAAGTTCCTATTTTATCCTCATTGATACTTTGGTAAACCCATAAATATCCCTCCTAACCACCTTCACTTTTCATTTCTTGTTTCTTTCTTCTTCCCTGCGCCAGAGTCCAAATCCGATCTACCACTCCTCCTCTTCCCGCCGGTCATTTACTGCCGCCGATTGCAAAATTCCCGATCATCTCCGGCGATATCCAATCGCAGTGAAAGGTTATCAGTAAGTTCTCTTTTGCTTACTTTTATACTCCGTTGATAAATTGTTAATTATTCACGAATAGCGAATTTTCAAGGTTTCTCGACTTCTAGGTATTCTCAATCGATAACGATATAGATATGTTCGATAGCTCTGTGTAGGTGTGGATATGTTGAATCCTTGCATGCGCTTTGATTTTTATTCTCGCTTTTGCTTCAAGTATTTTGCAATTTGTTTTTGATCGTAGGTGAATCTGGGCTTTGATCAGCGATCAGTTTTGTCACTCTTCAGAAAATGGCTGTGTGAGTGCTTTCTCTTTCCCTATTTTCTCGGGATATTATGCTGCCCTTTTATTAGAAAATCTCTATCTCCCATCTGATGATTCTGCGAAATGGCTTATTCGATGTACTTCTTTTGATTTTGAATTTGTTATACTTGTCTTTGTGTCGATGTATCGATTTCATTATTATGTGTCTAATTTGGTTGAAGATTGAATTGTGGGGAAAGTGTATAAGAGACAGTAATAGTGGGATCAATCTTTTGGAATTTCTGTGTTCTTAAAGATTTTTTTATGCAGTGTTGCTTCTGCTCCTGGGAAGGTGTTGATGACTGGAGGCTACCTCATACTCGAGAAGCCAAATGCAGGGCTTGTGTTGAGTACAAATGCACGGTTCTATGCCATTGTGAAGCCGATCAATGAAGAAGTCAAACCTGAAAGTTGGGCATGGGTATGTACTCCCTCCTGAAGCATGTACCTTCTTTTCTCATTTGGGTGTTATTGGGAAGTAATCATGTTGCAGTGTTGATGGGTTATTGTGTTGTGTGAGACGGCTGATAAACGATTGTTGGAATGTTTGTTTACTTATTTTTTAGCAATGGACAGATGTCAAGTTAACATCACCACAGCTCTCAAGAGAAAGCATGTATAAACTGTCACTTAAACAGCTGACTCTTCAGTCTGTATCTGCAAGGCAAGATCCCAAAGATTTTTTTTTCATAATGTCACTTAAACATCCTTATTTTTATTACTATATCACAAGTCTGTGTTTTTTTGCATATCAGTACGTGTCTTTAGGTAGATGTCACTTGTCAAATATAGGTGATATGGAACTTACATTGTTTATTTATTTCTGATTAAAATATAACAGGGATTCAAGAAACCCCTTTGTAGAGCATGCTATACAGTATGCTATAGCTGCTGCTCATTTGGCAACCGACATGGACAAAGAAGCATTGCACAAACTCTTCTTGCAAGGCAATCTTAAAATCCCTGCCTTTGTTTATATATCATTG